ACATTTAACTTCACTTAATAGCAACACACAGACAGACGCCAAAATGTCAGCCTTGGCCGTGGTCTCAAACTTGGAAACTGACAGTAAGTAAAGTAAATGTGTTACATACAGCTCAGCTGCTGAAAGCCCTGTGAAGATTACTAAGATAGAGATCTTAACAGGAAACACATAACAACAATGGTCAGTTCCTTTTTGCATTCTCTGTTACTAAGTTGCTAAAGCTGGCTTTATTTTTAAAGGATGGGTATATAGATGCCAGTCATTTTCTTTTACTCAATCCATGCCTTTAACGTACACTAGACCATCAGCATAGTTTACAAAAGAAATGCAGGTCTAGAGTCCTTACCCAGGACCCATATCACTTTCAACATGTAAGTAGTGCTTTTACAAAGTAGTGCCTTTACATCTAAATACCCTCTTCTTACTCGAAATTGTTTCAAACCATAATATCCAAATTTTCTTTTATTTAAAGCTAGAATTAACAGCCTTCATTTTATTTTGAAATCTGTTCTTAAGTGTGGACTCTTAAAAACAAAAAGGCTATTATCAGAACCTCAGACTTAACTTCTTATAATAGGTGAAAATAAATGAATCTAATTATGCAGGAACTGAGTCTAAAAAGAATCTTTAGTAAATCACAACTATATAAAACTCTAGAGATCCCCAGTGACAACTGCCAAAAGCCAGAAAATATTAACTCTGTTAAATATGAAGGCATGAGCTGGATTGTTACCAGTATTTCTTGGTTACCTAAAAGCAGCTTTATTCTCCTCCTTGGTGTTTCAAAAAACTTACTCATCTTAATTAATCATTAATATTTACTGGAAATGGAATTACACTTCCTGGACACTCCCAATCTACAAAGCCTATGCAACAAGGTATTTTAGGAAGCAGCTTCCTGGACTTTTCAAGTCAGAATGTTAGTATAAGGGTGTGTACTACACACAGTGTATTTTTAAAATATTTTAAGTTTGCTTCCCAATTCAATACTAGCTAATGTGCCACAGTTAATTACAACAATCTAAATTAGCCGAAGCAGAAGCAATTTTGGCCACATCTTTTGGCCTTGGGCATGAACATGAACTCTTGACAGGTGTACTAAAGCAGCAAGTGATATTTACTGTCTTAATCCTCAAATCCACTCTACAGCCAACACAAGTATACATCTCTTGTGTTTTATCTTTCTTTGCTCCTCTTTCTTATTCCAGATGCCAGTGCTATGTTTGCTTATTCAGTTACCCCAACCACCTATCTCTCCTACAATGTTTATCCAAATTCACTAGAGTAAGTACTGTAATTCTGTTCAAATTTCAATTTGATAGGAAAGTAATTAGTACTTCAGGAGCTCCAAACATACATGTTTTTACAAACATGCCTGTATTAGCAGTGAAATTTTGTGAGTCTCCCATACCTTTTAACCGTTATTACATAGCACTCTCTATAATAAAAATAGAAACCATTAGTCCTCATGACTACAAATCAAGTTTTCACTGACCTTCAAAAAACAAATTTAGAAAACAAAATTATAGGGATAGATGCTGTCAGTGCTACAAATAAAAAGACCAAGCTGGTTCTCCCTTTATATAAAGAAAACTTACCTTAAGATATTTGACTACAAGAAGGAGCAGACTTTCTGGGGTCTGAAAGGGTTTGTACTTGAAGACACTCCGGTCAGCAGAGGGTCGTGTTGAGCATTCTGCAGACAGAACTGTTTCAAGTCTGCAGCTGCCTGGGAAACCTGAAAGTAACAAAGAGTGGAGAAATGTCTCTTGGTAAGGTTTTAATGGCCTTTATGCGTCTGAAAACACTTGAAATAAACAGTGCCTAAAAATAATTGATGGCTAATGGTTCTATACTGGCTTAAACTTAAAACATTTAGTCAATGAAACTGATTTGTAATACTTTTTCCACTTACTAAAAGCATCAAATGAGTCAATACAAAGAAAGTTCAATCCCATTTATCTGTCTTGTGTTTATGACAGGCTGTTCAACAAGACCTAACAGCTTGTTTTGTCTCTTGTATAGCCCAAGCTGGCCTCAAATTTTTTATATGGCAAACAGCCTTGAATGTTTGAGCCTCTGGCCTCTACTACCTGAGTGCTGGGATTAAAGGCCTGCCCCAAAAAGTCAAGTTTACGAAGTGCTGGGATCCAACTCAGCTTTTCTGTATTTACAGGCAAACACTCTTAACAACTGAGTCACATCCCCAACCCAATGGCTTTTTTTTTCTTTTTTCTTTTTTCTTTTTTTATTATTGAAAGTAATATGCAGTAGTAGTAGTACAACAAAAAGATTAACATCATAGGGAAACTGTCTTAAAAGGAAATGCCCATGAAAAAACTCAGGCAACCAAACACTTCATTATATTCTTTAAGTTTACACCATCCTTATACTATCTTGCATGTAAGAGAGAAACATGCATTCATTCATTCATTCAAGCACCTACCATTATATATTCTGGCTAGGAAATAAAGAGTATAGAAACCAATACTGAAATCCTACTTGGATACTGCCAAATCACGTCTGAGGCAAACACTGTTGTTTAAAGACAGGCAATTAAGAAAGGTGGTTCACCTGGGCCTGAGTCTGATTTCTAGAATGAACATAGAAGTGGAAGAAGAAACCAACTCTGTAATACTGCCCTCTTAACTACCTCCCCATATGCACCTTGTACACGCCCATATACACCACGCATTCACAATTGTTGTTAAACTAAGGTACACTTAGCTTTTCAAGTCACCTGAGACAGAGCAGGAGGCTATCTGTGTCAGCTTTCAAAGCCAGCCTGGCTACTTGGCAAGACCTTATCTCAAACTCATAGATTGAATATAAATACCAAATACAACAAACTGAACAGCTATGTAGACCATGAATGACTAACAATGCACCTAAACCATCTAATTCCCTTATTTACTTTATTCTCAATCTCAGCCATCTCAAGGGTAACAACGAATGTCTATTACCCTGGTGGTGTATCCTTACAGATATTCTATATCAAAAGTCCCTCCTCAGATAACAGATATATTGTGACCATGTTTATCTCTAAATATGAGGTTTCTGCAGTTTTTAAATGCTTGTATAAAAAGCAATACCCTGCTTTAGCCCTTAAAATGTATGGAGGGTAAAGAGTCCGTTTTCACATTACACTACTCACTCGGCTTTGTTCATCAGTAAGCATCAAGTGCCTGCTTATTATGTGTGTGTGGACTGTATATACTCTAGGCACTGAGAGTAATGAAGAGTAATGAATGACAAGGCGCTCACTTCAGGGAAGGTGTCGGAGTTGACAATGTAGCTGGGATTTCAATGGTAACAAACCTAGCCCAATAACCACAGTGAAAAAACAGCACTTTAATCAGACTTGAGACGCGAAATGTTAAAGGGGACCCAAGGCTCTCCATCCAGTAGGCTGACACAGAAACTATTAGTCATGCTTCCAGGTGTCCTCACCCACCTTTGGGAGTTTTGTAAAACACTTGTTACAATTACCAACTAAAATACAACAGTAAGTTTACACTAGCTTTGACATACACACATACACACACGAACTACCCAGCATAAACATGGCATGGATGATGTCTAATGACACCCAACCTAATTTAGGAACCTTAGAAATACTCATTTAAAATTCCCGAGATGTGCCTTGTTAGGAGAACTCCAAAACTGTGTGTTTGTGGTGGTTTAAATGATTCCAAGATGGAGCCTTCAGAAGAAATAAGCTACACAAAGACCAAGCTAAGAAGTAGCCAGTGGGCAGGGGGCTTTTCAAGGAAAAGTTCTTCTAGTCTGTCTTTGGCCACCAGGGCTAAGAGCACTGCTCTCTAATTATTACATTCACCTTGCCTTTCCTTTTATTTCCTCCCCAAGCACTACTTTTTTTCTTCTCGGCCTACTTTATGATAGTTAACATATGAACGATGATGATCAACAGGCTGCTTCCGGCCAAGACTGAGTGTCACTTGGATGAGGTGAGAATTTGGTTAGGGAAATGGGAGTCCAAACCGACTGATGGGCGTCTCCCTCCCTGCCCTCCTAAGGTCACAAGGAAGTTCAGCAGTCCCTGACATTTCTACTTGGGAGCCAAATAGAAGTCCTCTCCACAGAGCACGTTAGGACTAAAGGCGAGCCTGCTGAATATAAAGCCAATCTCCTTGGGACCTGGCAGCGTCTAGCAGGGTGACTTCTACTGCCGTTTCTTTTTATAGTCACGGGAGGTATCCCATACTCCTGTAACCCGAGGCCAATCTGTTTAGGATTTTTAGAATCAGCCAACAGTCCTCAGAACAGCGTCTGAGCACCGGGCTTTCTTCCAGAAGGCCTTTCCCCAAAAGTCAACAGTGCGAGAGGGGCGATCGCAACCGCCCGAAAGCCCGCCCAGCCCAGGCCGGCGCCGTGGGCCGCTCGGGCAGGAGAGAAGCGGAGCGGATGGCCCGGCAAGGCCAGACCCGAGCGAGCCGCGCCGGCGGGGCCGGGCCGGGCCGGCCGCCTTTGTTCAGGCCGCACCGAGCAAGGGGCGCCTTGGGCCCCGGGACGCCCGTCTCAAGGCACCCGAGCGGGGAGCGTGGACCCAAGGTCGGTCGGCCGGGACGAGGCTCGGTGTGCGGGGCCGGCAGAAGGAAGGGCGGGCGGGCGGGCTCCCTGCTCCGCCCGCGGCCCACGGCCCACGGCCCGCCGCTCCCCCGGCCCGGCCCGGCCCGCCGCCCCGGCCCGCGCCCACCGCCCGCCCGCCCGCCCGCCCGCCCGCCCACCTTCACGCGGTTGAGTCCGGCCTCCAGCCGCAGCTGCTGAACCACCTTCTTCATGGCGGCGACGCTGGAGGAACCCGACATGGCGCTGGGACAGCCGTGCCGACTCGTCAGGGCGAGCGAGGGGCGGCGGGGCGGGGCGGGGCGGGGCGGGGCGGGGCGGGGGCGGGGCTCCCAACTTCGCCCAAGTTTCCGGCGCCGCGCGCGCCGCGCATGCGCGCCGCCGCCCGGGCGGGGCGGGGAGGGCGGGGTGGAGGCGGCTGCCCCGCGGGCGCGAACTGAGGAGCAGGGGCGGAGCGGCCGGTGGGCGCGGCGGCGGCGACGGGGGCGGGGCGGCCCGACGCCCGGGCCGGCGCCTTCCGCGTCAGCGGGGCTGCTTAGGGGAGGTAAGGAGCCCGCTGTGTGCGGGCGCGCGGGGCGGCCGCCGGGGACTCGCACGCCCGGTGATGCCGCCGCCGGCCGCGGTTGTCGGGGCGGGGGAAGCGGCGGCCGAGCCCCGGGGCGGGGCCGGAGGGCGGGGCCGGAGGGCGGGGCCGGGCCGGAGGGGCGGGGTCCGTAACTGCCCGCGCCGCCGAGCGGAGCCCAGCAGTTAGTGCTCAGAGACACTACTTAGTAAATGTGGAGAATAAACAGTTTATTTCGCCTTGGTCCCAGGAAGTTTCTCCTTTTTCTTTCTCCAAACTATTGAGTTAGGTAACCTCAGAGTGTATTGCTGTCTCAAACACCAGATTCTCTCAGTCTCAATAGTATGTCTAATAAGCAGTCCATACAGGCATAGGAAAGGAAGGCAAACAATCCCCCCTAAGTTCATTTGCATCTAATGCTGTGGGCACTAAACGCAGTTCGTGAAGATCAGCAGCTAATAAAAGCTTCGTTTTTAAAAAAAAAAAGTCTTCTACAATGTTCTAAAATATTTCAAAGGCTTTACCATATATTTACATTTTAGATGATTTGTTGTCAAAAGTAACTTGACACAAGAGAACCTATTAACAGTAATGGCAAGAAACCACAAGCAAGAAATCTTACCGTTCTGTGCTTTGTCAACAGACACTGCCAATTTAAATTTACCTAGCCTACACACCTTACTCAACTTCCGTCCACTGGGTGTTTGTTCAATATTGAATAAAAATATCCTATTTTATCCTATTATATACGTGTGATGACTTTCTTTCCATGGCTTTGCCCATATATTGATATAGTAATCAATTTTCATAGTTGATTATGGAACTTACAAGGAAATTGTGTTAAGAGAATTTTAGCCAGTAATAAACTGTGTCATAAGACTTGGGTTTTTAGCTCAACAAGTATGCATGTTATCACCCATTTTCAGGGAATGGGATATTAAATATTGTTATTCCGAAAGGTTACATTTTCCTTCTACCTCAGCTCATGCTATGGGCTCTGTCCTAAATACACGCATAAGGCCTACATGTTGAAGCCTGCCTGTGGTGCTGTTGAAAGGCAGGCCCTTAGCACTGGAGGCCTAGTGAAAGGAAGGTGAGCACAGGGTTTATGGGTTTTTTTACATATTGATCCCAGTTCCCTCTCCCTCCCACCCTCCCACCCTCCCATCCCCCACTCCACAGGGAGGGTGATGCCTTCCAGGAGGGATCAACAAAATCTGTCATTTGGAATAGGGACTAGGCCCTCCCTCCTGCCTCTAGGTTAAGGAAACATCCCTCCATGGGAGATGTGTCCCCAAAGTCCTTTTGTGCACCAGGGATACATCCTGGCTCCACTGTCTGAGTTCCCTTAGACTGCTCAGGCCTTCTGGCTGAGACCCATGTTCAGGGGGGTCTGAGTCAGTCCCATACTGGATTCCCAGATATCAGTCTGGGCCTATTAGCTCCTCCTTGTTCAGGTCAGCTGTCTCTGTGGGTTTCTGCAGCCTGGTCTTGTCCTCCCTCTCTGCATCTGGATTCCAGTTCTGCTCAGTGTTTAGCTGTGGGTGTCTGCTTCTGTTTCCATCAGCTACTCAATGAGGGCTCTATGATAGCAGATAAGTTAGTCGTTGATCTCATTATCAGGGAAGGGCATTTAAGGTAGCCTTTCCACTGTTGCTCAGTTTGTTAGTTGGTGTCATCCTTGTAGGTCTCTGGACATTTCTCTAGAGTCAGTTTTCTCTTCAAACCTATAATGGCTCCCTCTTTTATGGTACCTCCCCTCCCCCCCTTTTTTTTCTATTTCTCCCCATCTTCCTAGTCCTGCATGCTGGTGATTCTTTACTCTAAGTCTAAAATCTGGGTTATCTCACTCAGGATGGTTTCTTCATGTTCCATCCATTTGCCTGTGGAAGTTAAAGATTCCATTGTGCCCCCACCACTGAGTAGCATTCCATTGTGTAAATGAGCACAGTTTTGATGGAGACAGTAGGACTGGCGTCTTCCATGTCCTAAGGTGAACAGCTCCTTTGTTTTGTGTCCCTGTATGAGGTGCTGTGGCTGCCAAGGGGCCAAATCAACAGAGCCCAGATTGCATTCTTTAATTAGCACACAAGTCCTAATTAACACAATGGCACATAGGCTCTGGGGCATCCTTGGGCAACTTATTTAGCTAACACATGTTACCTTTTAGGAGGGTTGGAGCTTTATTAGGTTTTCCATGAACTAAGCAGGACAAAACTCTCAGAAGTAGAACCTGAATTTATCGGGATCAGAAAGACCTGTGTCATCTGGCATTAGGTTGAGTGTATTGTGATTTCTCCTACTTCTGAATAAAGGCGTTGTCACTGTTTTAATGAATTTAAGAACTGAAAAGGATTTTAATGAGCCTAAGTCACTTTCTTGTTAGATTTAAGGCACTGAGACATAGACCACAATGAATGGTCTTGTATACCATAGAGGACTAGAACCTGCTTTTTTAGTGCCCAAATCATTTGATTGCTTTATGTGGGGTTCTGCTATATTTATCTGTAGCCTATGTCAAACTTCCAATTTTAGTGGTTACTGAGTATCTCTTTGTATAAGCTAGTATTAAATCAAACAATTACTAAAAATTACTCAAATCCTTATTTGCCTTGAAGAATACCAGAAATTACTAAAATTTGATTTTAGCTCTGTACCTGAATCCCAATGTTATTTTTAAAGATCTCTGTAGTCTTTCTCTGTTAAGACCAGATGTGGCCTTGGGATGCTTTTCAATAATAACTTACTTTATTTTATATTTTTAGCATGTTGTTGGGGCTCGAACCTAAGGGCCTTCCACACACTATGCAAGTGATCCTCTACTGCACTGTATCCCCCAACTTAAACAATTCACTTTTAGACCGATTGGCAACCATTTGTTGGAATTAGTACACATGGTAAGAGTGTCCATTCTTGGCAGAATTTGGACAAGATTTTGCAGTGCATGACAGACTATATTAGATCTCTATAGTCATCTTTGCACATCAAATCTCCTTTTGTTTGAATTGTTACTTTGACCATTGGCTAATTATTACAAATAAATAATTTGAAAATTCCAAATGTTATGTTAGGATTTAGTACATGAAATGATTTGGTTAGAATCAACTCCAAATTCTAATTATGCCTAAATTTCAATTGAATTATTAATTGATTTAATAACAGAGTCGAGTTAGTCAAACATTTGGTTAGTATAATAAAGATAACATAGACAAGTCATGGACATTGATTCTGTGTGAAAACCCCCAAATTACTATCCCACACATGGGCCAAACTGGGAGAAAATCCAAAGTTCAGGACCTCAGCAACAAAATTTGGCCTTTATTGCTAATAGGTAGGTTCAGTATGCGTGTAACCCCCTCTGTTTGCCTGCTATAGTCAATTTAGTCAATCTGTTTTTACAGTCCATTTGTAAATCTCAGTAAATTACAGCTTTCTCATAGTGTGAGCATTTCTTGTGCCTATGACAACTGCTTCATGGCTTCTTTCTCTAGATTCAGTTTGATTCAAAAGATTGTATAGCCCACAAAATAATCTTTCAATTTTGATACTGTTAAAACAATCAGTGGTATCTACTAGTATTTCCTAAGTACAAGGTCAGAAGAGTTTTTAAATTTTGTATGATTTAAATTGCTACTTGGAGGTTTATTAAGTTAGTGTATGTGTGTGTCATCTAGGATTGGCCAACTTTGGAAATTTCTTTTTTAGAATAATATTTCAGCTACCCTGTTTTTTTCAGTCTTATGTTTATGATATATACATATTTAATTTCATCATGCATTATTATGAGTTGCCATAAGTTCTATGAAGAAAACCACAGGAAATAATACCAAAAGAAATAATGCTTGATAATTTAAAGACTAGTTTTTTTCTTTCTTCTTTTTGAGACAAGGTTCTCTGTAAAGCTTTGGAGCCTGTCCTGGAACTCACTGTGTAGACCAGGCTGGCCTTGAACTCACATAGCTCTGCCTGCCTCTGCCTTCCAAATGCTGGGATTAAAGACATACACCACTAATGCCTGGCCCAAGACTAGTATTTTCAACTAGAATGATTGCTGATATTTATTCTATAGGATAAGAAAACAGTTTTCATCATTCAGTGACCATCAGTATAAATTCAGGCTTTACCCTTGTAAAAGTATATTTCTACATTATGTGTGGGTTTAACCCCAATTTTGACCTATAAAAATGAATTATTTTGCAAATAGTTAAACATGTCCTTGTCAAAAAGCCATCATAATGCATTTAACAGTTTATTATCCTTGACTGGCAAGGGGCTCCATTATAATTTGAAAATAAAATGCATTTGATACAACTAATTTACTGAATTTTGTAGCTTACCAAGAGTACTCACTGTTATGATCCTGTAACTGACAGAAGAGCTGTGGCTTACTGTTAATGATTAACATTCAAGAAACTATCAAGTCACATATAGCTAGTTCAAGAAGACACAACAATTCTAAAATTCAAGGACAGAATCAATTCCGCACCCTCATAAGTTGAGGATGCTGTCTATAAAAAGTGTACATTTTCTTAGAACCATCAGACTACTTAGTGTTTAATACCTTTTTAAATGAGAATAAAAAGATTGCATATATTTCTAAGCTCATATTTCTATTATAGGTTTGTATTAAAGCCTTTATGTTTTTCTTTTAACCCTTTGAACACATCAGAGACCAGAAATAGCTGGAATGCTATCTTAAGCCAAAAATCTATTTAAACACTTATTTAATGCTGCTTAAATGAAGAAAGATATATAAAACATCCAAAACTCCACCTGGTAACTATCTATTGAGACACTGGTCAATATGTCGCTCAATCCAAGTCGACCTTCTTCATCAGAGGTAAGAAATCATGCCTATCATTGATTTTGAAAAAATATGAATGACATAAAATGTTAGATGCTGATTCTACGATGATCCCAACTTCCCATATCACATTATCAGATTGTGTGATTATGATTCTCGTATCTCTGGGCCACTTTCTCTATTATGACCAGCAATAAATCGGTCTTATCACTCTTTTTGCTGTTTCTTAACTGGTGATGCTCCCCAGACTTAGCATAACTTCTGTAGGACACAGGATCACCCTGGCTCATGGGTTGGGCACTTGTTATCTCTTGCTTTGTGGTACTTCTTTGATAAACAACAACCCTGATGAATATATTTCCCACCTAATCTTCCTGAAGACTTTCTGAAGAATGTGCAGGTATAAGGGCCATTTTCACTTTAAATCCATGACCGTGAGTCTCAAGCGGAGTCTTTTTGCTGAAAGGGTTTCATGCTATGTATCACTCCTTGACTAATTCTTCAGGCAAGTATTTTGTACCTCCTTAAACCACCAACAACTTCCTGTTCTTGATCTACCCCAATTGTGCTCCATATCACTAACCCACTCTTGTTAAATTCACCTCTTCATCAGGAAATTTATTAGTTAATTCCTCTAAACGTACTTGATCTGATTGAGTACAACAGCTGACATCATAGCCCTTCTATTCCGTGATAGAATTCCTTCACATTGCTTCTTTTGTTTCGTGAGACAGGGTTTCCCTGTGTAACAGCCCTAGCTGGTAAGAAATCATACCAGATTTACTTTGTTCTGTCAAGAAAGAGAGGGCATGCCACACATGGTGGTGAATGCTGGTAGCCCTAGCACTTGGGACATAGAGGCAGGAAGATCAAGAGTTAAAGTCTATCTCACCTGTACAGTTAGTTCATGGCCAGCATAGGCTATATTAGAACCTGTCTTTAAAAAGGAAAGAAGAAAGAATAAACATGGGAAAATGTTAAACATTCATGGTAATTTGGAAGGACTTTAAAGACAGATAAGATCTGATGTCATCATGCTACTTTAAAATCTAATGCAAGAGAAAACAAGAGACCTATATACATATCTTTTAATGTGTCTTGTTGTTGTTTTTGTTTGTTTGTTTTGTTGGTTGGCTGGCTGGCAGACTTTTCAAGATAGGGTTTCTCTGTATAGCCCTGGCTGTCCTAAAACTTTCTCTGTAGACCAAACTGGACTCAAACTCACAGAGCTATGCCAGCCTCTGCCTTCCAAGTGCTAGGTTTAAAGGTTTCTGCCATCACTGCCCAGATTAATGTGTTTTTAAGTGGTTAATGGTTTTAATGAAAAATATTGTTGATGAATTATTTGCTATTAAGCCAGGAGTATAATATTAGAATAAGGTGGTGTTTTGAAAGAATAGAATATTTAACTTAAACATTTACAATGCTCAAATTTTCAACCATTACACTTATAAAAATTACAGGTGTTCTTTTAAAACATAAACATAGACATTTAATTCAGGAAATATTAATATATTTGTTAAAGATAAGGTGATAATTAACTTCATATTCTAACTAGGGAATAGCATTTAAATGTTCTGTTCTTGAAAAATTAGCATATGCCAAACATCCAAGTCATTGGTAATGTTTAATCATCAATAGTATAGGCATGATTTATTTGGTTTATAAAACAGCTTAATCAAAACCTTCAGTTCAAGAAGCAAGGAAAAATACCATCTAATATTCTTACTGAATGCCACAGGAAGAATGTCATTTATCAAAGGTGTTGAGTAAGCTGTGAACCAACAAGTATTATTTCAAAGGAAAATGTGCACCAAGTTTCAGATGGTCAACTTAACAAATGTTTGTTTTGTCATTTTTTCAGATGAGTGCATACATTCTATATTTCAATTGCATTTATCTAATTTAAAATTGTATAATAAATAACTTGGTTCTTTTTCTACTTTAAAAATTTTTTAACTGATGTTTTTCTTACCCAGTTGGTGGAACTTCATGTTTTTTATGTCCCTGAAGGATCGTGGAACTATAAATTAAATACTATTTCAGTAGAAGTTATTAACAAGTTTATTTCTGCTGGATTTATAAGGCAAGTCTTTTATAGCCATGCAAATTGAAAATCTCCTAAGTGAAAAATACCTTGTTGATTTGATGGATCCATTCCTAGTTTAATAAGTGCCGTTAATAAACAGTACAGTGTAATATTAGTGATATGGCTCAGGGGAAGAGTTGAGTATAAAAGAGGTACCAGATGTAATCAGCAGTACTGCAATAAATATATAAGCTTTGTAGCTTAAACATTGCTATAGGAACAGACATCACCTACTAATAATACTGCTACTGCCAAGAAAACAGTGTATAACTTATTACTAAGATTATTCACAAAAACAGCAGAAATGATCAAAAATTCAAAACCAGTTGAACTGAACAGTAGTTAAAGCAATATACTGATAAGGTCTTTATAGGAATAAAACTGTAGGGGTGTGTGTGTGTGTGTGTGTGTGTGTGTGTGTGTGTGTGTGTTTCCACATTCAGATAGACGGGGCACTATGTGATCTGGCTCTCACCTCTTAAAATTCCCCATCACTTTTCTCAGTCACACTGATTTCCCTTGTGTTCTAAAACACATTGCATATAGTTGTTATTCACAGTCCTAGCTGCTGAGATTGCACAACTAAGAGTACCTACCACTCAAGTCTAGCCACATGAGTTCAGTGTGGAACCACGTGAACATGGAAGGGGGAACCAATGCTCAAAGCTGTCCTTTGATCTCTGTACACACCGTGGTATGCACCCATACACAGTCGATGGGGAGTCCTTCGGTATGATGTGAACACGTTTCTCTTGTTGGTTGATGAATAATTGCGGATTGGCCAGTAGCCAGGCAGGAAGTATAGGCGGAGCTCCCAGACTAGGAGAAGTCTGGAAAGGAGGGGGTGCAGAGGAGCCACTAGGGAGACACCATGTGGCCACTGGGAAGGTGGGATCCTGGGCATTCTCTGGTAAGATGAGGTCATGTGGAAATACATACAAGTAGTTATGGGTTAATAATTAAGAGGGAGCTAGCCAGTAAGAAGCCTAAGCCGTTGAGCAAACAGTTTATAATCAATATAAGTTTCTGCGTGTTTATTTGGGAGTAAATGGCTGCGGGACCAGTCGGGACAGAAACTCCATCTTCACACAAAAATAATATTTTTGGGAAAAGTATATAAATTCCAAGTTTTGTTTAAACCATAAAACTCTGATATAGATTAAAAAACAGACATTTCCTTTTCAATACAAAAAGGCAGTTTTGTAATCCATATTCATTTGTACAATTTTAAAAGCCATACTTTTAATTGTTTGTTTTGAAAAATACTTACTTGAAACCTAAAAAGTTCCAGGCAGTATAGAAACCTAAGACATTAAATTAGTGTTTACATTTAAGTTAAATGACCAGACCATTAATATATTCAAAATAATGTCATGGCATTTCAGAGTATCACCTCAACTTACTTTACAAGCTTTGAGGGAGCGCCTCGGTGAGTTTCTTGGTGTAGATGCTGTTGCAGAAAAGTTTTTATTTCTGAAATGCATTGGAAATAATTTAGCTGTGGTAAGTTTTCTTGCATGTTTCCTTCGAAGTCTACATTATCAAATTACATTTCTTAGATGTTTATCAAGTCAGTTCCTTCACCTACTATGAGATAATTTAGGTCCAATTCTAAAATGTTTGTAATACTTATTTTAAACAAATTCATGTTTTACTGCATATAAAGATAAATATAGAGCCTGCCCTTAAAGTGCACTTGCTGTAGTGGTCAGGGTAAATTATATAATATGGATGAATCAGATACCATATTTTATATACTGAAGAAAATGGGATGTTCTGTCAGAAGAAGAGGGTAGGTCGGGGACACTGAGGGAGAAATGATACTCAGTCATAGACATTGAAAGGTAATATTTGATCTCAAAAAGAATGAAAGGTGAGATAAGAGTTATGAGCCAAGAGAGGAGTGGCAAGTCAGGCGACCAAGAAAGAAAGAATGAATACCTTTTGTTATATTAACTGTGCCGAAAAGTAGCGAGCAAAAGGTAGAGAACCAGTTATAAAGTACACTTCTGAAGGTCTTGAATGCCAGATGAATATTTAATGATTTTTTTCTGAAGCCTTGGAACTTTTGAGCAAATAACTAGCATGGTTAATCCTTTAATGAAAATTACTTTACCTTCATTGAGAAGTGGGAAGACATTGTGGGCACAGATTGTAGCCAGTTCCATGATCTGAGGAAGTAACTTAATTCTTTATGCCTCTATGTCCCTATCTGTAAATTACAGATGATGTCCATATCTATCCCATAAAAAAAAGATTAACTGAGCTAATTTATGTACTGCACACAGAATAGTACCAGCTGCACACTAATTCCAATGGAAATTATTACCACAATTTTTAAAGAACTTAGAATTTCAGTTATGTTTGGTTCAGAGACTAGAAGGAGGATTGCATTCTATGTTCTCTGTGATCTAGCCATAGTTACTATTGTATTAATATGCTGTATTCTTCCATAGAAAAACACGGAGTAATAACTGAAAAATATTATCAAAGATTTAATTTTTTCTTATGAATTTACATCCAGGTGAAGGAAAAGCAAGAATCGGAACTGAAACTCAAGTCATTTGCTCCTCCATATGTATGTACTATGAACTTAAGCGTAACTGATTTTAAAACCTGAGGAGATTTTGTTGGTTTGACTTTTTAAAAAAATTTCCTGTGTTTTAGGCTCTTCAACCGGAATTATATTTGCTTCCTGTAATGGACCACTTAGGAAATGTTTATTCAGCATCATCACCAGTGACTTTAGATGAACAGCAAGGTGGTAATGATGGTACAACAGAGATTGATGGAGCAGTGCACAGGCCAGAGAGTGCGGCTCTATCCAAGGATGAACCTGGAGAGCCGAGTTCCTTGGAAAATACTTGGAAAGAAGAAGGTGATTTCAACTAAAATGGGGAAGACGAGGAGTTTATTATATGTAGTAAATATGAGTTGCCAAGCCTGTGTGTGAGTTTTGGGCAAATCTATTACAAATAGAGGGAAGATACAAGGAATGCAGTCGTTTAATTGGAGCTTGAAAACGTATAGGTGGGAAAGAAAATCAGTGAAATACTCTGTCAAAACTGAGAAAAGGGCCAGGGAGGCAGCTCAGAGTGTAATGTGCTGGACGCTAACTCGGTACACAGTGCCCACATTCAACAAAACAAGCAAAGCTGGGCATGATGGCATGCATTCGGGCACACACACTGCTTGAGATTTACTATTTGGTGAACTCCAAGCCAGGGAGAGACCCTGTCTCAAAAACACAGTAGAGGGAGCTGCAGAGGTGACTCAGAGGTTAAGTGCATTCACTGTTTGTGCAGAGGACCTGAGTTTGGTTCCTAGCATCAGGCTGATCACAAATGCCTTTAACTACAGCCTAGATCTGATACCTTCTTCTGACCTCCATAGCCACCTGTGCTCATGTACATATCCACACAAACACACACAATTAAAAGTAAATCAGAAGTACATGGTACTTGAAGAGGGACACCCAAGATTGACTTCTGGTTTCCATGTCTACATGGGTAGACACATCCATACACACCCATGCAAACAAAGTGACAGATAACCAAAATGCTTCAATTAAACTTTAAAAACACAAAGCTGTTCATAAAAAAATGTCAATTGAACATTTGCATCATATTTCATGGGCTAAGAAGATTTGCAAGGAAAAAACAGGTATACTAAATGTAAGTGAAGTACATCTCCTCCAAACCAGTGAAAGCATCCATTACAACTATGGGTATTGCTTCCTAATTATACTTATTATTATTGTCATCTGAATGCATTCTACACCAGATGATATTTCAAACGTATCACTTTCTTTTCATATTTCTTGTGTTAATATTTAGTACTACTTGATGCCAGTAAGATTGATACTTACTGAGAATCTTCTTCTTGGCATATTTCTGCTTTGTATCAAGATAATCTCCTAAACAGTAATGGGAAAAAATTGAAAACATTCATACTAAAATCCAGTATTTCTGAACGGTACTAGGTGTGGTGGCTGAAAGACACTTAAGAAAGTGCTCAACATCCTTAGCTATCAGGGAAATGCAAATTATATTACATTTTTAAATGACCTGCATAGGTACAATATCTTAAGCAACAATAGAAACATATACAGTCTAATAAAAATAACCTTAAATTTGCATCAGTATAAAAATATTTGAGACTAGTGATTGTACAAAAGTAGACTCAGCAATCACCCTTTTATCCCACCATTTCTGCACTGTATTGCCCTTTGACCTTCCGGAATCTAATCTCCTTTGGTTAGCTTTCTTTCTGACCATAACTTGTAACAAATTGTAACCAACCCCCTAAATGATGGCAAACATCCATAACCCACCAGATAACCCAAAGCCACCTACCCCTCTGGGGAATATGGGCATTGTGTTCTCTAGACTGCTTCCTGTAGTCTGGGGAAAGTGAGATAATGGTCCGGTCCTGGGAAACTGGCCTTAACATTGGTCGTTTCATCTCTGGGCAATAGGAAAGCGCAAGGGTTCTCTGTAGTCCTGACAGTAATCTATGGGCTAGACCATCTCAGCCAGCACTGAGGTTGCTTGTATTTCATTCTTACTACTCTGGTTCTTTTGCTCTTTACTCTTTTTGGAGGCCTGACACCCAGCTCCCAAATAAATCACACACATGGAGGCTTATTTTTACTTATAAATACCTGGCCTTAGCTTGACTTGTTTCTAGCTTTTTTAACTTAAATTATCCCAACTATGTTTCACCTCTGGGCTTTTTCCTTTTCTTACCTCTATAACCTTACTTTAATTTTTATTGTGTGTCTTGCTGGGTGGCCGGGTGGCTGGCCCCTGATGTGCTCCTCTGCTTGTTCTATCTTGCTCCTTTTCCTTCCAGATTTCTCCTTCTGTTTATACTCGCTGCCTGCCAGCCCTGCCTGTCCTTCCTCCTGCCTTGCTTTTGGCCATTCAGCTCTTTATTAGACCATCAGGTGTTTTAGACAGCAAAGAAGCACAGCTTCACAGAGTTAAACAAATGTAACATAAACAAAAGCTACACATCTTTACAGCATTAAACAAATGTTCCATGCATAAATAAATGCAACACACCTTAAAATAATTTTCCACAGTAAGCAGACTTGAAGCGGTCCTGGATGTAGAGCTCTGAGGAAAACTGCCACAGAGGCACTCTGAGAGGCTGGACCTCATCTGGGTCTGGTCCCCTTCCTCTGAAAACACTTACATCTGCATCAACACAAGTATGGAATGCACAGTGTGCACGAGTTGTTAAAGATTATTGTTTTGTTTATGTTTGATGAGGTAAAATATACATCACCTGTCTTGTAGTGTTTAGGTTTATTTCTTTATGTCTGTAGCCCAAATTTTCAGGGGGTCTCCCCCCATCAAATCTGATCTCTGTGTGAGACAAATCTTAAACTGCTGCTAGCCACCAGTCTGGCTCAGGTTAATGCATGGCAATGGCATATGGTGCTGGTGGCTGGCTCTAGCCTTCAGGCAACAGCTGGTAGCCACACCTCTGTATGCTTCCAGACTGCAGGACTGGGAAAGAACATTCAGTTCCTTGTCCAGACTTTTCTTATTTTTCTTAGGCCCTATGTTTGATAGTCAACCCTCCACACTGGATGCCATATGTAGATGGATTTTTTGTTGGGCCACCAGCTCACAAAAAATGACACAGAGATTTACTATTATGAAAGCTCAGCCTTAATTTAGGCTTGTTTTCTACCCACATTCTTAAATCTATGTTCTTCTACACGCTCATTACCTGGTCTCCATTATGCCCATCCTGGTTCTACCCCCTCTGGCGGGCAACTCTGCCTTTTTCTTCCCTGTATCCTCTCTGCCTGGAAACCGTGCCTAGCTATTTACCCTTATGTTTTTTATTGAACCAGAGTGACACATCTTCCCGATGTACAAAAGGATTATTCCACAACAGGACCTAGAGCAGGTGCAGGGTCTGTAGGCCAGTTCCACTTCTACCACAAGCTCTTGGCTTCCTGGTCATTTCCGTGTAACCAGCAACTGTCACATGCTTCTGCCTCCAGAGCCACAAGCCTCCCCTACAGCCTTGAACTGTGTATCATCCCGTTTCTTCATGTAGACATTTTTGTCAATAAGCTGGAGTTTAGTAATAGCAATCCTCAGTTTTATGCCCAGACAAATATATTTTTTAAACTTTCAAGCTGTATATGGTAATATAGCTAATTATCATAGCAATAAATTTTTATTTGCATTTCTTTTCATCCAACAAGAAGGAATTTATCATTTTTTATTAATCATTTAGGTTAATATGCAAAGGAATTTCTTGGAAATAGTCTATCAGTTTATTTTATATGGAAGAAAATGCCAGAGATCATTTCTTTCCATATGGTTCACCCTATTAGGATTGCTGGATGTGAATTATCCTCAGTGGAGAAGCATGGCCAGTGAGAACATGCAAAATGTATGTTCAACAGGTGTGATGAAAGGGGAGACAGGCTCGGACATCCTAATATGAGATTTGGAGTCCAGTGCTCCAACATCCAAATACCCCAAACCTGAAACTTTTTAAATACTAACATGAATACCTCTGGAATCCTTCCTTCACAATTATGGTGTGGATGGAAGTTTCAGGATTTAGTGGGGATTTGTTCAAGCACTCATACCATTATAGTATGAGGAGAGAGGATAAACATGTACCATGTGCTTGTATTTCTGGAGAAAAGTAAAGAATTCAGTGGACAGCTGGAGTATTTAACTAGAGTTACAGGATTGAATTTCAGTTCTAGAAACACAATTTAGGTAGCAATAAGAAGAGCAGACTTGGGCACTGAAGGCCCGATGTAGGAAAATGGCAGTTGGGATTGAGATGTTGAAGGCAAGGACTTCCACGGCTTGGCCAGTGTGCTCCAGCACCAAGCCACCTTAAAGAGAGGGAAGTGGTGGCGTCATGCATGCTAGGGCAATGCCAGGACTTGAGTTGGGCTTTAGTAAAAGCCCATGGCCATGGCACTGGCCGACAGGCATGTTGAGCTTCCACTGCTGATTAAAATCACTGCACATTGTTACTACTCTGCAGTGTACCATCTCATCTCTGTGCTTAAATTTCTCTTACCATTGCTACAAACAACTCACAGTACAAACTTAGTTTCACAGTTACTCCTTTTCCTGTGAATCTGTATATTTTCCCAGAACAGCCTAATTTTCCAAGAGTAGATATCAAAATAGGCCTTCTTGTTATGAAGTTGCATAAATATTACATGTTGCCCGACTTTGGCAGAAATGACAAATACGTGTCGTATCTACCAGAATGGACCCACAAGTCTACTAGGCTTTGCGATGTCATTTCTTTGCTGGGGTAAGCAGAGTGGAGTTTTACTACTACTTTTAAGCAGCTGTTGATTCCAGTTTTTAGTCATTTAACATTTACTAGGTCATTTTGAAAATTCCCATTTGCTTGCCTTTGTCAATGTCAACTGGTAAAGGTGGAAGTTAAGTTAAAGATGCAGCTTCAGTTTGAAAACAAAGCGTGTGTGTGTGTGTGTGTGTGTGTGTGTGTGTGTGTGTGTGTGTATTTTGCCTGCATGTATGTCCGTGCACCACATTCATTTAGTGTCCAAGGAGGGCAGAAAAGGGTGTTGGATCCCTGGGATAAGAATTAACAGGTGGCTGTGAGCTACCATGCTGGGAATCAAACCCAGTTCCTCAGGAAGAGCAGCCCATGCTCTTGACTGCTGAGCCATCTCTCCAGCCCCCACAAAGTGATTTGACAACCTTTGTAAAATGACTTTTAAAATATCAATTTGGCTTACTGTTTTTTAATAAATTTTCAAATATTGGTTATTAGGGGAAATAATCTACAAAGATCTACATTAACAGGCCCATGAACATTAGTGTTAATAAAGACATATTTGAAAAATTACTGTTTTTTAAATTTTTAAAGATTTATTTATTTTAAATTATTATTATTTTCTATGTGTGTATGTATTGCCTGCATGTATGTCTGTACCCATGTGTGTGCCAGTTCTCCAGAGGCCAGAAGAGAACACTAGGTCCCTTGGTGGCTGTAAGCTACTATGTAGGTGCTGGGAATTGAACCTGGAGGTTCTGGAAGAGTAGTCCATGTTCTTAACTGCTGAGCCATCTCTCCATCCCCAAGATTGCTACTTAAAACAACGGGAGATTTTATAAGTGAAATATATATAAAAGTTTCCTTCTATTTCACATCAGCATTTTCTTTAATTGGTTTCTCCAGTTATTTTGAGTGTCTTTAGACAAAAGGTTTTATGAAGACTAAGCTGATAAAACTTAACTCCTTTCCTCTTTCAGATTCATGTTGCACATAGGGAAATATTGCAGTAGTGTGTGTACACATGTATATGTTTGTGTTGTTGGTGAGGGTGGGTGATGAGTTGAGTTCACTAAAGAATCTTTTAATCATATAAACTAATATTTTGTGAAACTCATTCCAGGAAATATGCATTTGTATTTGCAAAGTTCATGGGATAAGGTTATATTATATGTGTGTGTGTGTGTGTGTGTGTGTGAAAATAATGCTCTTTTCACTGTTTTCCTAAGATTTTAATTTTATTTGCCATGTCTGAACAGTAACATCAGCTGGGGAAAGCCAGACAGCACAAAATCACTGTGAAAGTTCCGAGTTGCCAGGATCATTGGAAGAGTCAAATGATTGTTGCAGGAACCTAAAAAGGTAATTAGTAAAATGGTGATAACACATATTCTAGTCTGGAGTATAAGGAAAGGAATGTATTTATTATACAACAGTTTAAATTACAGTCTTTTCAAATTAGGCAACAATTGTATAAGAAAAAAATTACATTCACAAAATAATTAATGCTCCTAAAATTTCTAATTATTTTTAAGCTTGGCTTAGATCCATAATGATGTCTTATTTTACTACTCATAATAAATATAGTTTGTGTTAACTATTAATGAGTATGGGAGAAAATATATAGCCCAGCATGATTTTTTTTTTAATAAGCAGTAGAGTTGCACTATTATGTTTGATGCCCAGGCTGGTCTTGAACTCCTAGACTCAAGTAGTCCTCTGCTTCATCCAGGGAAACACTTAGGACTATTGATACAAACCACCCATCTAGATTTGTATTTAAACGTTTTCAAAGTTACATTTGTGTGTATGTAACATCAAATCATACTCTCTTATATGAACATTTAAGTACTAATACTCATGGAATCAAGTTTTAATATGACTTTCAAATCTGTTATTCCCTTTAAAGTCCATTTCTTTGGAAAGATGATGATGGCAATGCAACTATCAATAGACAGCAGGCCAAACCGGTATGACATTACAATTTTTATTTAAATGTAGCATTGCAACATAATACTAATCCAGAAGTTAAAATATGAGGTATGGATTAAGTGTCTGCATTTATTTATAATGCCATAAGTGTATTGTTGTAATATCAGTAGTATCATTAGTGGTTTTGCGGTGATATATTGTTTATAATATATCACTACATGGTTCAATTTTTGTTTCTGCTTTTGTGAAGAAATAATATACCCAAATAAGTGGGGAGAAAATGTAATCTACAACAGCTTTTTAAATCATTTTTTAAGATGCTTTTGCTGTTTTTAAGGTACTCTAACCGTAATCAATGGTTTTGTTAGATAATTTGTAATTGAATGTGCTGACAGATGTATTTCATTAACTCCACTCTTTAGAACAGATTTCTTGAGTATATTGAAAGGTATATAGAGGGGGTTGATTGTTATTATCAGTTCTCAGTTAGTAGCAGTGGGACTTTGGATCTGTTTCATGTGGCTAGCAACAGTCTAAAAGAGCTAATGGAGAATATCTATATCACCAGTGTATTCTGAAGAAGTGAAGACATGGAGAGAATTTTGTAAATATCTGCAGCATGAATTAGGGGATTATTCAGTTGCTTGCAATACTAGACTTAGTAATAGCTAACTATGAGTATCTCTTCCAGGCACTATTATAAGCATTTTACACATATAGCTCCATTTAGTTCCCCTGCAAACAACAGCAAACCTTATGACTATAAATATTGATTGTTGACTTAATTGGGTTGAAATATGTGGTGGTATAGTGTTTATGATATAATAAAGCTTGTTAGAAGCAGCAGAATATAAAGCCAGCTATAGAAGCTAGGTGGTGTGGTACACACCTTTAATCCCAGGACTCAGGAGCAGGCAGACCAATCTCTGTTAGTTTAAGGCAACCCTGAGCTATACAAAATTGATCCAGTCTAAAAGAGAAACACTTCACACAAGGGTGATCTCAGCACTTGGGATCCCACACCTTTAATCCCAGGATTTGAGAAGTATCAAAGGAAGAAGCAGAGGGTCTCATGAAGGAATTAGTCTCTAGCCACACTGAAGACAGGACAGCCCTTTCAGCCTGAGGTGGAGGTAAGAGCTAGTGTCCGGCTGCTTTGCTTTTCTGACCTTCAACTTAAACCCCAATTATCTGTCTCTTGGTTTATATTATTTGTATTACAGAAATATGCCTAGGAATTAGTAGGGCATATTTCTGAATGAGAGGGTCTTTCTGGGGAGATAAATGGTGAAGACCCTAAGTGGAGATGCCACCCTCCAGCATGCTGGGACCTGCACAGAATACAAGGAGAAGAGCAAGCCATTTGGTAGCCATTCTTGTTCTGGTGCATGGCCACTAGGAAGTAAATAGTTTTGTGGGCTACACTGTTAGCATTCAGGCATCTGCACTGGCCTGCCTTGGGGTTCTGACGGGATACCCCTCAGCTGCATCACCAGTGCCAATTCACTATGTTCCCCTTTACAATCCCTTTTCCTTAATAAAAAGCTCCTCTGCTGAACTCTGTGGCGGGGTGACTTTCTCTCTTGAGCCATTTGTTTTTTTTTTTTTTTTTTAATAACAACACACACAGTCATGCTGCCACTGTCCACTCATCACAGACACATCGATAGTAGGGAAATCCAGCTGTGCACTGAGGTCTCTAAAGTAGAGCCAAAACAGATCTCTCCCTCCCGCAGTGAGTGTCAGATACAGATGTGTTCGGTGGCTAAGCCGTTCTCTTCTACTAATTCAGTGCAACTCTGATCTCGGCCATGAGCCCCCAAAACACCTCTTCTTTCAAAGCATTCCCCTCTCTTTCAGAAACGATGTCTGCTCATAGCCATTTCCAGTCCCCTATAGTTTCAGTTCCTTGCTTTTGAACCCTCTCATTCACAGTGCTATGATTTACTAAATACTGCTTTGGTGGAGTCCTGCCCTTCTAGATTGGAGCAGAGTTGATATTTCCATGCTGTCTCTGTAATATAAGTGTGCATCTGACTTTGCTTAAGTGTGAGCTCCTGACCACACTATGGATTACAGTTCCTCTTTCCACACTTGTACGTAAATTGCAGGATTCTGTGATCTTATGCTGTACATACAAGTTATCTGCCTTCCTTTTATGGTATTTGGAGGGCTCTATAGAGACATTCTTATTTATCATGGAGAAACTTAAATTAAGCTGCAGAAACAGTAAAACAAAATATGAACAAGACTTGATTAATTTTAAAAGCAGTAACTACTAAATTAGAGAATTAAAAAACCTAGCAGATTGAAAACCATTCAAGTTCTATAAAAGTAATGAGAGAAACGTCAACATGATGAGTTATTTTATTAAGAATAGGTAAAATATGAAAATTAAGAAAATTGAGGCAAGAGTTGGCAAGATGGCTCTTGATGCGAAGCTTGATGACACAATGACCCATGTGATGGAAGAGAGAACATTGTCCTCTGGACCTCCACAGGCATATACCATACACAGAAACAAGTGCATAAATACAGGAGGAGAGGAAGGAAAGATGGACAGACAGAAAGGAGGGAGGGAGGGAGGGAGGGAGGGAGGGAGGGAGGGCCACGGGCATATACCATCCACAGAAACAAGTGCATAAATACAGGAGGAGAGGAAGGAAAGACAGGCAGACAGAAGGGAGGGAGGGAGGGAGGGAGGGAGGGAGGGAGGGAGGGAGGGAGGGAGGGAGGGCCACGGGCATATACCATCCACAGAAACAAGTGCATAAATACAGGAGGAGAGGAAGGAAAGACAGGCAGACAGAAGGGAGGGAGGGAGGGAGGGCCACGGGCATATACCATACACAGAAACAAGTGCATAAATACAGGAGGAGGGAGAGGAGGAGAGAAGGAGGAAAGATATCGGATAAATGGAAGGAAGGAAGGAAGGAAGGAAGGGGTAGAGGAAGAAATAAGTTGAGGAAATATAAACACAAACGGTAAAAACGGCTTGTAAGAATAAGATACAAAACAAAATGGTAATGTTTTGGAAATGTGATAGACTTCTAGATTATTGGCAATTACAAATTATCAAAATTGACAGGGTGAAAAAAATCATAGTTATCTTAAGAAGCTATTATATTGATTGACTAAGATTAAAAATCTTAGAAATCCCATTCAGAAAGATAATTTTAAAGCCTTTGTTTATTCTGTCGTCATAGTGACATGGAGAGCAGATGAGCAGGGATCTATACTATAGGTGTAGAATTGGGCTCGCCGCTGTGTAATAAAAGGGCATTGCTTGTGCACGTGAGCAAACGCGGTCTGTTCACTCTCACGCTTGCTTACAGGTGGGTGACAAGGAGCAGCAGCACATCACACTACCAGATCTCATTGACTTCCCTTCATTTCCTTCTCAACGAGTTTCTTCAAGGTTAACTGACACCTCTTTATTGAAAATTGAGAGTAAGTATTTGTAGCATCCTAAGTATGGATAATTCTGTGTGAACTATGTTAACGAGGAGTTATTGTTTAATGGCCAAAAAGTTTCCATTTATGAATGCTTTTCAAAAGTGGTGGGAATGGGTGTACAACATTGTAAGTAATGTAATGCCACCTAGCTGTACACAGAAAATTGTTAAATGGCAAATGTTACATATTTTACTATAAATTATATATAATATTAATGTTATGTTGATTATAGTGCATATTTAATCATTAATATTATTTCACTCTCAAATATGCATTTTCTGTGTAAGATATAAATAATGACAGTAACTTTGGGCCCAAAATAAATGTACCAAACTAAAACTAAAAAAACTATAAAGAAAATGTAACCTGACTACCTAGTTACACACATCTGTGTAAATACAGAAGAAATATACTATTTTATAAATCCAAGAAAATCAAAATGTCTCCTCCATATTCTCCATAGTGGTAAGGCCAGAAAGAAAAACATACATTTTGAATAAATATTATTCTTTTTTTATACACTTTCAGGTTTGTAACTCTGTCTTTTGGGATATGAACCATCTTTTAGCTTTTCAGAATTGATGAGTATGGGTTATAATCTCTCTAGGAGAGAAGATTATTGAACAAATGAAACAAGTAAAGGAAGAAAGAAAATATCTGGAAAATATTAGAGAAGAACTAATTAAAAAAGTTGAAAAACTATTTGAACAAAATAAATCGAAACGATATCATGGTAAAGTCTATTTTACAGATTTTATAACTATAAAGAAAACTAACCCTAAATTTTATAAAATTGATGCTTTCAGTGTAAGTAATATAATAATTAATGTTTGCTGTTATACTTGTTACAGTTTATGTAATACACAATTGAAGTACATTAATATAGAAAGCATTTGACTTTTATACAATAAATGCTTTGTATAAGGTGTTGTAAATTAAAATCCAAATATTTCTTGATATCAAAACTCATTTTAAATTAATTCTTTCACAAATGTACTAAATAAGTATTTAAGTGTTTAGCATATTTGGACACTGTTGTAAGGGATGACGAGATAGTAATAATTTTACAATCAGGGAAATGATAACCAAGTTATGACTGAATGGTACATCATCGTGTTTAGTGCTATTGCAGAGGAACCACACAATTGTATGTATAGAAATGTTCAGGAAGAACACTAACCTGGATGGAAGAAACCAAGAAAGCCTCCCAGAAGGATTCGGTTGGAGGCACTAGGCGCCAAGCGTGCTTCTTGGCTCCGTGTCTCCCTCCTGCCATGCTTTTCCCTAGTTATCAACTGGTCTCTCTCTTACTCTCTCCTACTCCACTCACGGGGCTCTTTCCTGCAGGTCATTCAGAACCCTATACCACTTACTCTAGAAGCCATCTTTGCGTCTTTAACGGCCCTGGGTGCCTACTTTGGGGATATATGTGCCTTGCTGCTTTACTAATACAAATGAGTGAGGGAACTTGGGGCAGGGGAGTCATTTTCTTGGGGAAAAAAAAAACAACAAAAACAAAACAAAACAAAAAACCGGAAGCAATATGATTAGCGCTAGTGGGAATGAGAGTAAGGTAGCACGGGCTTTAACCGGGTTCCCGGGAAGGCATTTCTGAACAGAGATACCCAAATCAGATTAATGAGGCAGGCACTGATTGTAAAGGAACACCATTCTGCAAAGGAGGAACAGCAAATATCAGGTGAAGAGATAAGGATGGCCTGTGGCAGTCAGCCTTGAAAAGGGGCCAGTGTAGCTGGAGCATGCTAAATAAAGTGGAACACAGACAAAGAAGAAACGGTAATCAGAAAACCCAAGTCAAAGAGATTGCATTTTGTCCTAAGTAATGTTAGAAGCAATTGGAGGATCTCAAAGGAGGTTTGTACATAATCTTAAAGATATTAGGACCAAGTATGGTGGCACACACCTTTAATCTAGCACTTGGGAGGCAGAGGCAGGCTAATCTGAGTTCAAATCCAGCCTGGTGTACGGAGTGGGTTCCAGGTCAGCCAAAGCTACACAGAGAAACTCTGCCTCAAAAAACAAAACAAAAACCAATCACAAAAAATAGGGCCTTGTAGTAAAGCTGTCATGTGTTTAAGCCCCAACACTGTAAAAATTTTCTTTTGAAAAATGAAGATGCTAATCACCATTGTGCAGAGTATTATCATAGGTATAGGGGGATAGCTCAGCCGGTAGTGCAGCTTCTAAAAGGTGCCAGCACTGACTGCAGTTGTGGCAACAGATGTAGCAGTAGATAAGCACGGGACTGTGTAGGCAGTGGCACTCCGAAGCTGCCCATATCTGGTAGCTAAGTTCTGAGCCGAAGTTTGATGCAGCTCTGGAACTGTTGTCAAACCACCTTTCATGGACAGTTTTCATCAAGTTTTCACCTCTGTGATAATCCAAAAGAAACAGACAAGGGCCTTCTGGTGCCATACCACTATGCAGGCTGTTTACATTTAGACTCTCCTTAGTACAGAAATAATTTCCTCTTCTCAGCAAAGGGCCTCAGGTTTGACAGATTGCCTGTGTTGGTTACTGTTTTCACTTTGTGACAAGCTGCCTGACAGGCGTGACTGGAATAGAAGAATTGGCGTTTAAGAAGGGATAAAGTCATTCTAGTACAGAAAGCACGTGGAGGGGCCCTGAGATGTCTGGTCCAAGCGGGAAGCATAGAGACAGATGCTGCTGTTTTGCTGGCTTTCTCTCTTTTCAATCCTCCCTTTTATTCAGTTGGGGTCCCAACCTGTGGTATGATACCACGAACATTCATGACGGGCCACGATGAAGCCACTCAAGGCAAAGGTTGCAGGGCCTTTGAGTTGGCTAAGCGTTTGCCTGAATGCCGGTGGGTGCATCTTGCCTGTTGACATGAGTCAACACCCTTCTCAAAGAGTTCTCCCAACTTCAGACCAAGCATTCAAATATATGCGCTTGTAGGAACCATTCTCATCGAAACTACCCTGACTATTCTATGGCCTTCATTAGGCTTGTGGCCATATCATAATACAAAATAAACTTAAATACAAAATAAACTTCAAAAGTCTCTATAACCTTTCATGGTTTCAACAGTATTTAAAAGTCAAGTCTCTTATGAGAATCAAAGGCAATCTGCAAAGTGTAACTGCCTGTAAAATCAAAAAGCAAATCACATACTTTCAACACATAATGGCACAGGATATACATTACCATCCCAAAAGGAAGGGAGAGAAACATAGTGAGGAAATCCATCAGGGCAAAGTCCAAACCCTGTGTCCCTCGTGTCTGCCGTCAAGGGCTTAGATGGCTCTTAGTCCTTCCAGCTTTGCTGATAGCAGATATCCCAGGGTCCTGTCATCTCCAACAGCTTGGGGTCCATTGCAATTCAGGGTTCACTCTGATAGCTTCACACTCTGAAGGCATCCATGCAATGACTCTTGCCACACACCTGCCCTCGGCAGCTTTCCTTAACCATGGAGGAAGATTCCACAACCACTTTACTTGTGTTTCCTTGACTCTAAAACCAGACCCGTGTGGATGAAGCTGCCATGTTCTTCTTGCTTGGGCCAGAACCTGCCTCCTTCCCTAATTACATCTGCATAACCTTTCCTTTGTGGTTGGTTTTTAGTAGGAGGGAATCCCTTGGGTGTTGTTTTAACTTCAGCACAGGGGCTGCCCCTTAACCTCCTGCTGCTTCAGCCAGCGACTGTGCCTCCCAAGTTAACAACCTGCCTGCTTCTCTGGCAGTGGCCTGGCCACTCAGGTGGGAATTCTGTTCTCACAGGCACTGACTGCTGCTTCCCCTAATGGTGGCTTTAACTAATTCTCTTATCATTCTATTTATAAATAAGACTTGAGATCCAAAGGCCGGGGTGAAAATCTGCCACCTCAGAAAGGTTGAGTAGCAGCTTCTTGCTGGCATCTCCCAAAGAGAGCATCTTTCAAAAATAACCCTCTCCACTTCAGTTCCTCCCTACTCCTGTGCATCTCTCTTTCCCAGATGCCCTCTGGTGCTCTGTGACTACTTTCTGTTAACTAGTTGCTAACTCAGCCTCCTGACCCAGGTTAATTTTATTTAATTAATGCAAATGCACACTTGGGGCTCAGTGTGATCAAATATCTCCTTTCACAGCTGTAGAATTAGTTGAGGGCACGCCTCTCGTTTTTTCATTTAGTATCTGTTTAGCATCAGGCCTATCTTTAACGCCTCATTCCTTTGAGCATAGGACTTGGTGCGCGCGCGCGCGCGCACACACACACACACACACACACACACACACACACACACACACACACACACACACACGCACGCTCCTTTTCTCCTTGGGTTTTGTCTTTTTGCCCCACCTCCTCGTTGTCATTGAAGGTCTGTTTGAGTGGTCACTAATAGCCATGGGACACAGCCAACACTATGTTGCCTTGACATTTCTGCCAGCAGTGGTACTAGTCCAAAACTCTTCAGTTCAACGGCAGGAAGATTCTTGGGAGAAGGCAAAAGGCAGCCACTTTTCTTGCCAAAATACTACAATAATTGACTCTAACCCAGCCGCTAACATTGTTCCCTGAGGCCTCTTGACCTGGGTCTCTGTAATCCACATTGCTCTTATCACTCCTGTCCTCCAGGTTCTTCCTAGGGTGGCCCATTAAACCCAGCTTATAGCATTCAACCACTTTCGTAACCAAAAACCCCAAAGTCAACATTCTCCCAACAGGCGACATGCTAAGGCCTGTCTGTCTCAGCAATAGCCAACTTCTGTCATAGTTGTTTTTATATTGCCGTGTAGAGATACCAAGGCAACACATAACAAAAAGCATTTAATTGGTGGCTCCCTTCCAGTTTCAGAGGGCTAGTGTGTGATCATCATGGCAGCAAGCAGGCAGGCACGATAGTGGGACAGTAGCTGAGAGCTTCCAGCTGATAGACAAGCAGGAGGCAGAGAGAGAGAGAGAGAGAGAGAGAGAGAGAGAGAGAGAGAGAGAGAGAGAGAGAGAGAGAGAGAGCCACTGAGCCAAGTCTACTTCCTCACCTCCAGTGGTGCATCTCCAGATAAGGCCACACCTCCCAACCCTTCTCACAGCAGACCAAGCACTCAAATACATGGGCCTATGGGAACCATTGTCATGCAAACCAATAGCAAACATTTCTCTCAGCTTTGGGTACTTATAAGTCTATAAGAGCAGAGGAAAAGGAGAGAAGGGAAATGTTTTAAACTGGTAATTTTTTTTTTTAACTCTAGAATCCTTTCTACCTTAAAACTTTAATGCTTCAACACAGTGGTTCTCACCCTTCCTGATGCTGTGAGTCTATACTACAGTTCCTCATGCTGTGGTGACCCCCAACCATACAATCATTTCATTGCTGCTTCATAACTGTAATTTTGCTACTGTTATGAATCATAAATATCTGTGTTTTCCAACCATCCTAGCAGACCCCTGTGAAAGGCCATTCATTCCACCCCTAGAGGGATGGACCACAGCCTACAGGTTGGGAACCACTGTTTTAACAGTGTCCACCTGTGACTTTTTTACTTGGTGTTTTGTTTGTAGCCTGTGACAGCTGGAAGAAAAAATACTTTGACACCAAGAAAGTCACAGCGTCATTGGAGGATGTCTTAACAAAACTTCGAGAAGATTTGGAACTTTACTATAAAAAACTCCTCATGCAGCTTGAAGCTAGGGAGATCAAGATGCGACCAAGGAATCTGGCAAATATCTCAGATTCAAAGGTACCGTAAACTGTGCCTCCTTCCTCTAGAGGAGTCCTGAGCAGGAAGCCTGCATAATCTTGTATTGTTGTATTTAGGATTCTCTGGGTTGCTTGTAGCACAATTTGCTTGGACAATGAAACCAAAGTCCCTGGCCTGCTATCACAGGAGAGTTGACCAGGCAAGAAGGCAAAGGTCAGAAGACAATGTCTCTTAGGGCCTTGGTGGTGTTGGCGTTTCCTCTGTTTGTACTGTTGGCTTCATATGATAACTTTCTCTAATAACAGTAATAGAATTGCCAATGGCTAATAGGACAGAAACTTGGCCCAGGGTGGTTGGGTATTGTAAAAGAGGGTCACTCCAAGATGTAATTTAGGCTCTCGGTGGTACAGGAAGAACAGTTTCTGAGAACTGAACCTCCAGCCTTGCTGTGCAAACATTTATTGATTGTTATATAAAAGTTGGTTCCTCATACCATAGCTCCTGATCTAATCTATGTTTTGTAAGGAAAGCATCATGCCCTTGCCACTTTTGTCCTTATTGTGTACTGTTTGCCGTAGCAAATAATTTAAGAGCTCTAGGTGTGCCAGGACAGTCTGTGACCAAGTCATGCAAAGCTGCTTCAGAAAAGCAACTCTGTACTAACAGAGAACAGTCGCTGTTCTCCAGAATGATTTCCTCAAGGTCTAAGTACTTCTAGAAGACCTCTTCAGCCTGATATTCGCCCTAGATGCAGTGAAGAACACCTATTTCATTCTAATGTTTACCCTAGATACAACTTCCACTGGATTTCCTACTGCACAGTCATGAAACATAAACCTTTCCTTTAGCTTGGTTGAGGTTAACTAGGCAGAACTCTGAATCAGTAACAGTTGCCAGGGAATGCGCTGACTCTTATGCTAATTAACATTACAAAGAAATAAATAACTGATAAATAAGAGTAAGGTGCTAACAGAGCTCATTTCAGACTGTGGGAGAAGGAGTTATAGAACTCAAAATTACTGATATTCTAAAAGAACTTTTAAATTTTATGAACTTTTGATCAACTCATGTTTTTCTTGAGATAGTCTTGAATCTTACTTCACAGACAAGAGTATCCTTTATTGTATAATTCTACCCTATTATTAAATAGGCAAAAATAAACAAACCCAGGAGTCATTTAACAGTTTGTTTTTTTTGATAGATTGATCTCACATATCCAAAAGATTTAAAATATGTTAATTATGACAATGACTTTAGACATGATGAAATAGAGAATGTTTACTCCTGTAGATGAAGTTAATATAAAACCTAGGTAGGCTAAAATAATTACCTACCATAATAGTTAATACTATTTTAGCATAGTTACTACTTTTATCTCACAATTTTATTGGTTCAACAGGAGAATCTGCTTCACGGATTAAATTTCTTTTGTTGTTGTTGTTTGCTTTCTGTATTTTGAGACAGGGTTTATCTGTGTAGTCCTGGCTGTCCTAGAACTCACTCTGTAGGCCAGGCTGGCCTCGAACTCACAGGCTCTTGCCTGAGCCTCCCAAGTGCTGCAATTAAAGGCTTTCATACCACCACTATCCTACATGGAAGTATAAAATTCCTAAATAACTTCTATAGTAAAGAGAACTGTACTGCGCGAGTTTTTTATTTTATTTTTAGTATATTTTCTTATATAGAACAGTTTAATTATTAAATATTTTTTAAATAATTCTAATCTGATTCAGCTAATAAAATACTATGCTGAATTCTAAGTGTTTGCTAAGATCTTCATAAGTTAATAGTATAAAGGATGTTACATAAATGGTCAGTTTTACAGGTATCACTTTTATTTTCTGAGATAGACCCATATCCAGCTTGGCCTCAAGTTTGAGATCCTCCTGCTTCATCCTCCCAAATACTGAGATTATAAATGTGTGCCATGATGCCAGGCTCCATTTTAAAGATAATAAATGACTGGAGGTAGAAGAGAAGAGAAAGTAACTCCTAAAGCACAGACCTCAACAAAAAGAAAGATGTCCAAAACAATGTCTGTTTTCGTGATCATTTCATAGTTTGTGTTCATAAGGCCATTTATATTAAACACACAAATATTACACTAAATAATGACTTTCTGTCTCACACAGAATTACCTTATAATCCAGATCACTGAAGTACAGCATGCAATTGACCAACTCAAGAGGAAATTGGATACTGATAAAATGAAACTCATATTAGAAGTTAAGGTAATCTATATTTATTCTAATCAGATTGTAACATTCATCTTAAAATAAAATAGTTTAGTGTTTTAACCTTGAATGCCCAAGTCTTTTGCAATCTTATTTATTCTAGTGGAGCATCAGTAATGCTTCTGAAAGTCTAATGGGTTAATAGGAGATTTAGTTCAAAATGCAGCATTTGACTCCATAAACCCAGGGAGGCCTGAGATTCTTTATTCTTAACAAATTTGTAGGTTGTACTAATGTTCTTGGTCCTTAATTATGAAATAAGGAAAAGCAAAGGTTTAATACCCTTAGAGGCATTTTAGGCACAAGGGTATCCTATCATGCATCTTAACTATCTATCCATTTCCTAAAGAGTCTTTAGGATCCCATAACTGCTGGTTTTACTTGTTACACATTGAGATTTTGAAGCTAATGTAAAAACGAAAGTTCTTTTTATTCTGTATTTTGAGACATTTCAACTGTCCTTTATATATGCATAAAGGACATAATCTCATGCACGTCTGGCTAGATAAGAATGCCTGTTAGCCAAGATGTATAGCATGAATCTACTGTAGTAATCTAGTAAGAGGGAAGGCATGAAAGTCAAGTGAGGACAGTTCCCACTGTGACATTCTTTAGGAAGGCTGAGTTGAAGTGCGTTTTAAAAGGCACCTCTTTCTGCAGATGAGAAAGCAGGCAGTTTCAGATCTACAGACCCTGAAAGCGGAGCTGACACAGAAGAAAATGGCCACATCTTTCCGACCTCCACTATGTATGCTCATTTCATTTGTCCCTAGGAATTGTAGATAACGATTTGAACAAAGTCAGCCATTGTGTTCCTTGGCAATGTTTTATGTAAATTGTAAGATTTATGTGTCAGTTAAAAATTACATTTAAGACTTAAATTTTAGTTTTTGTGTGGGTATTACAAATTATAGTATAAATCTAAATAGTGTCTGTTTATTTAGAAGAGTTGGAGTCTATTACCTACCTATTATATTTTATTATTTCTTATTTTAATAAACTTAAAGGCAAAGCATATAATGATTTAGTAAATACCAGTATATTTGCCTAGAAATAGAATTTGTTAATATTTTGATTAAAAGCAATTGCATATACATGTATGTCAAATTTGTGGCTAATTTTTACTGCTTTTAGAAATATAAAATGATTTTTAGAAATGAAGTTATGCACATTCTGAGGGAGTAAACAGTTTTTACTGTCATAAACAACTATGTAAATAGAAAACTAACACTGTCATAACAGACAGTTGACATGCCACTTGTCCCAGTTTGGAAAGGGATCATGTGAAAAGAAGAGAGGATTTATGTGCAGAGTTCAGAGGATACAAACTGTAGTGAATCTTTCTCTGTCCTGCCAGCTGCTCCCAAATGACACAGAGACTTCTTATTAGCTGTGAAAGCTTGACCAATAGCTTAGGCTTGTTTTTGTAACTGGCTCTTATAACTTAAAGAAACCCGTTTCTATTCGTTTACTTTCTGCCATGTGCTTTTGTTACCTCATCTTCGTAGTACCCATCCTGCTGGCTCAGTGACCCTGGCATCTTTGCCTTCTTCCCAGCCTCTTCTCTGCCTGGAAATCCTGCCTAGCTACGGGCCATTCAGCTTTTTTATTAAACCAGTCAGAGTAATGCATAATCACAGGGTACAAAAAGATTATTCCACAACAGCGAACATTTAATCTGTGTATCTGCAGGAAGTTATATAAATACAATGTTACAATTTATGTTGTTTTCACTTAATTTTGTGTGCATGGATGTTTGTATGTCTATACCTGCATGAATGTCTGTGTACAATGTGTGTGCCATAACAGTGTGTCAGATCTCCTGGGACTGTTGTTAAAGATCCCTGGGGAAATGGAGTTATGAGCTGCCATGTGGGTGCTGGGAATTGAACCTAAAATGTCTACAAGAGCAGCCAGTGCTCTTAATGGCTGAGTCATCTCTCCAGCCCTGTAAGGTTGCTGTTAATTGCTTTGAGAAAGAAAATGAAGACTGCTTCACATTTAGAAATTTATTTGCACAAAATTGATCTTTTAGAAGAAAAACATGAAAACTAGGTAAGAAATGAGTGTTAATAAGTGAAGGACCATGAATGAACAGTGAATAGAATCAAGTTCAACACTAGCGTATTCTTATTGCAAGAATTTTACACAGAAATCTTGTATCAGGTATCTTACTGGTTCAAATATTACCAGATTATCATTTCTCGTGTAACTTGTTTACATACTTTTTTCTCATACACTGTTTCAAGTTTTAAGTGACACTAATGTGTGTCATGAAACATTGGTATATACTATAAAGGGTCAGGAAGCAGAGAAATTATGTCTAATCATTTTGATCAATATAAATAGATACCAAATTCCTGGTTCTAAATTTAACATCTGTTGAAAATAAATTCAACATAAACTACTTCTCAAAGGCTAGGTCATAAAGATTATGTTTGAAGCCAACAATTTCCATTTCAAGATACACATAGTTCTTGTCAGCTTTTTTTTATTAGCATGTATTAGTTGTAAAAAATAATGGGCTTCATTTTGGTATCCTTTATACATGAGTATAACATAATTTGATGATATTCCCCACTCCATTTTCTTCTTTTGTCCACTACTTACACATAATTTTTAAATCAGTAATGATTTTTTAACAGTATGTTTTAATACCAGGAGAGAAAATTCAGCATGAAATTTTGAAAGCATTTTCCTAATTAAATTATAATGTTAAAACATAGAGGAATACTTAATAGAGTATGTTGACTTGTTTCTTGCTTTCATATTCCTGGAGATTAAGTTATATATGTATCTTTTATTTTCAAGTGAAGAATTTCTTTATTTCTTACGTGTGTATTGAGTATACCAATAGATAAGTTATGACATGGCAAAATATACACATTTTTTATCTCTGCAACAAGTTAGATCCACTTAAACAGCTCATTCTTACAAAATCTAATAGTCTGACAGAAGGTGCTCCTCTCTCCATCAGAGCCTTGGTTTTAAAGCTTCCCACATCTCTTCTGTTTGCTCTCTTGCTAGAGCATCTTCTGAGTAGTCAAGACAGTTTGCATTCCACATGCCAATGCCCCGCAAGCCATAGTTTTTGACATATGCTGCCTTTAGTGAAATGCTCTGGGGGTTATCATACCACACTTGATGCAAATGGCCAGCAGGATCCTACACAAAAACAATTGCATTGGAAATTCAAAGAGTTCAATAAGTAGGGGGAAAGTTCTTAAATTCAAAGACTCAAAATGCATGCAAAGAAATAATGAAAAACTTATATATCACATTGCTTTCCTGCCCTGCTAGTTCATGGTTATATATGTAATATTTCTGTTATCTTGTGCTACTTTAGCAACAACAAAGATTATACACTTAAACTTCCAATGTGCTCTGTTTAAGAACCTCCCTGTCTTTATTGGATCTGTCCTAATGATCACCAACTAAGATGTACACTTGAATCTTTGCAGACCATGAAGCTCTTACAGACTCTAGAAGGGTCTGGGGATGAATGCCTGGCACTCAAAAGGATGAGGCAATAGGATCATGAGTTCAGGGCAAGCCTAAGCTACACAGTGACAACATGAAACAAAGCTAACAGTTGAGATACCTGTGTCTCACTGAATCATATCCGTGTAAGGAGGGTGCTAGGATCCAGATTTCTTTATCTTTGTTCTAATATTCCACTGAGTAACTGATATGCAACCCCAGTTAAAAACATCAACCGGTACGGTGCTGCCCATTAAAGCCAGCTTGTTTGTTTATTTGTGTATTTCTTTATTTGTATTCTTACAGTTTCTGGAAGTGTGCCAACCTAGGGGCTCAACAGATGAACATTGTTTGTGATGAATCAGCCAGATGAACAGGTAATAGCTGAGGAGGAGGAAAGTAACCCTCCTGGGTCTGACAGAGCTCCCTGGATGGCTTAGCACAGACTTGATTAAGAGAAATGAACTAGGTTGTGGTCTTGTTCACACCTTCTGCCCTGTATCACTGTCTCTCAAGAAACACATGGGTTATTAAAAAAGAAATAAGAGAAAGGGCCAGAATTAGGTCAAAGAAAAACACTGAACTATAGTGAAAAATAATTGACTGTTTTCATGCGCATTAGGAAACTGCTTAAAGGCAATTCTGAACGCATGCCAATGACATTTTTGTCTTTGTGGCACTGCTGGAATTAGGTTTTGATGCGTCCACTCTGAAGAACATAGTAACGTGGTAAACACATGGGCTGTGGTGCATTTCAGTTTGGTGGACTTATCAATACAGGCATGCCTCGCATTTCATGCTTTACCTTGTGGACTGATTGGTCTAAGCATGCTCACAATGTACGTGGCTCTAGAATATAAAGTCCAAGATGAAGCTGCTGTTGCTGAGCCGAATAGAAAAGCAGAATGATTCAGACACAACAGAAACTTTTGTAGTGTGACTGAAAATGAGGAACATAACAGTAACAACAGACTGTCATTTAAAGCACCATTAAATGGTCTCCAAAGCTCCCCAATGTGTTTCATGAATCATTTGAGAGAAATAATATATTCTGGATAGTGGTGGCTTACACACACTCAGTCAGATGAAAGGAATACCTTATGATAGAGGTAAGAATACAAGGGTTTCAAACATGAAGAAATTATAAGGGGAAATGCTGTCAACCTTGATTTTATCAGTAGATGCTGTGTATTGTGTTGAAAATCATACTAAACCCCATTGATATATACAACTAATGCATGTGAATAAAAATACTCTTCAAGTGTGTCTCAGAAATAAACATACTTAACTCAAAAACAAATCTATTCTTTCAGAGAAACTAAAATGATAGTATATCAAAAGATGTGGATGGAGAGAATGGGAGATGCTCAGAGGAGACACTGTTTTAGTTAGACAAGAGAAATAAGATGAAAAAATCTAGTAAATACCATCACCACTATAATTAAGAACAAGATATCAAGGGATTACATGTTAAACATGATTTTAACTGATCTCACTATAAAAGAACTATGAAGTAAGACATATGTAAGTGGACATGTATATCAAAGCAGGATGTATACCATAAATAGATACATTTCTGTCAATTGTATCTATTTATTTCAAAAATGCTAATATTTCAAAAAGAATATGTTTCTGAATCTTCTCACTTGGCAAAGAAAAATTAAGCAAATAATTACAAATCATCATATACTATCATTACATATATATTTCTAAATTATACATAATTGATTAGTATAACCATGAAATACTGTTTGCCTGGTTCTGAGTGAATTAAAGCAGGCTCTATGTTAAATAAATAGCTTTATGCATTGCAACACTTCTTAAATATTTTAATGTGATTCCATACAATAGAAATCCAAGACCAACAGATATGGCCAAGTATTTTCTAAATATATATGGTCATAGTACATGCATACATATTTGTACATGTATGCACATGTCTATATATAATGTTAACAGTTCTTAGAACAGAGTTCTAGTAATATTGTTTATATATGTAATGTAACTTTAATTGTTCCCCAGGCAACTAAATTTCCTGACTACACAGACAAAAAGGTTTATGCACATAAACAGTAAAACTGTTACATTGTTAATGACAAATATCTAACCACAAACTAGAGTTATGGAAACTAATAGAGTAAATGTTCTCTTTTTTTCCTCTCTGTGTAGCTCTGTAGACCAGGCTGGCCTCGAACTCACAGAGATCCACCTGCCTCTGCCTCCTGAGTGCTGGGACTAAAGGTGTGTGCCACCCCTACCCGGCTGGAGTAAATGCTCTTAATCTAGGAAAATGTACCTGGTAGTTATAATAAGGAGCTTGCTGGTCTTTACTCCACTGGCTTCCGGAAACAGAGCTATTCACTTGCTTCATGATCACTTTGTAAGGTACCTGCCGTCCTGCAGCATCACTGCAAGGGGCCCCTCGAAAAGGGACCTTTGCAATGGTGCACACATCGTCCTACAAGTCCAAAACATCCATGTTATCATCTTAGACAATCCAAATGAGACAAACAGTAAAACTGTTAGAAATAAAATGTACACTATAAATAATCTGACTATACAGAATAATCATTAAATTGATAATAAAATGAAAATGCATGGCATTCAGAAACTTCCATATTAAAGAATTAAAAAGAAACAAAGTTTAGCTTCAAAATATATTTCAGAAATTAATTTAAAAAGTTACACATGCTCAAAGCAGAACAAAATATACAATGGAGTAATACCACATAACAAATAAGTTGTTCTTACCTGTGATAGATTCAGGCAGGTATAATCATAGCCATACCAGGGAATACCCATTACGAGTTTCTTAGGGCTAATGCCCATCTTGATGTAGTCATTATATCCTAGTCACACCGGGATAGAAAAACACATCATTCTTCTGCTTATGTATCTGTTATGTGTACAAAGAAGCTGGGCGACCACAACCACACCAAATACTAAGTTTGTAGAAACAGGTACATTTTTACAGATAACATTTTCTTCTATGATGTCACAAAAATCAACCCTTAAGAAGGGAAGTCATAATTTGTCTTGCTTTCTAAGCTTTAAATAAGAGATGGCATCCAATAAAGATGACATGGAAACAGAATACACAAAATATAACTGGAGAAATGAAATTGCAAGAAATCATACAAGTTTTATGTTAGCAGTTAAAATATATTTGGTATTTGGGATTCTAAGGCTTCAAAAAGTTCTATAAATCTTAAACTTTGTGGCAGTGACACTCAGAATTTCTTATATAAACCCAAGTGATCCATGTTTAAAAATGTCTGCATGTTTCTTAATGACTGCTGGAGACGAGAAATATCCTTGTTCTTATACTGTGGTAACCTGTAGTTTGGGACACAAAGAATGTGAAGAAATTGTTGAAGTACCCCTGAGAATGGTGGCTGGCTAGATCTTGTGCCAGTCTTGTGCAGGAAGCCACAGCTGCTGTGAATGTCAGAGTGTGCAGGCTGTCCGCCATGGTCCTTCCCTCTGGCTCTTACATCCTTTCTGTCTACCTCACAGTGGTCCCTGAGCCATGTGTGTGTGTGTGTGTGTGTGTGTGTGTGTGTGTGCGCGCGCGCACGCGCGCACGTGTGTTACAGAGTCCCCATTTCTGGTTGAGTATATATGGTTGAGCTCATATACAAGTATTGCCTGCACTCCGACCAGTTGTGAATTTCTGCATTTACCTCCATAATATTAAATGAAAATAATTTGCCATATGGCAAGTGTTAGGCTTGAAGAAGTATCATATAGGATCAATGATCATCCCATGAGGCTATATAAGAAGTAATTGAAATTTTCAATTTTTTGTAAATGTTAAAGCTCTCCAATGTATTTTTATTCTTTTACTTTATTATATTTTATTTATAATACATTTTATTCTACTATATTTGTAAAGCAAATTTTTATATAAAGGGGTAAATAAATAATTTAGAAAAACTAAAAGGTACTTTAGTATGTGCGGTTTTAGAATAAATATTGCTAGTTAAGTGATCATTCTTGTATTCTTACCAGTTAATGTCTGATTATAGGGAGCATTGGCTGCTGCAATACATTCTGACCAGATCTGACTTTGCTCATCGTAAGACATCACGAAGAGAAAATCACAGGCACCCGCAATTCCTGTGTAATTATAGCACCTTTTGTCTATGTTCTTTGGTGACCAAGCTACATCAAAGGTTACCTGTGGGGAAAAACTACCTATTATTTAATGTAACATGATAAAGTATATTATATCAGATTTTCGTCACACATTCTCTTGCCTCATTCCACTCAAGAATAAAGAAGTGCTTTATAAAGTGTGTACATAAGTGACTTATCACATGCAGAAGAGGTCTAATAAATCTATTTTGTTATTACATTGGACTGGCCTGCACATGTGTCTGGATACACAAGGACCAGGAGAACAGCCTTGTAAAGAAAAAGTTTTCAAGCCAAATGTCGTCAAAGGCTGGGCTGGGAACTCACTGACTGACAGAAACAGGTTTAATAGTGACACACTACGGTGGGACCCTGAGTAAGTGGGAGGTGAAGCCACTGGAAAGACATCAATCAGAAACGTCACTGTGCGGGCCACATGGGTCACCTGTTAGTACTGCCTGCTGCTGTTGTGAGTCAGTCCCTGACTCTAATTATATGGCATGGCAGTCAGAGAATTGGGCTTCACCCATCAACTCAAAATGCCGAACATATCACTGAAATGATCTTCGTTTCTGGAGGGATACCTTTTCCTTTACTCTGGATGTGAGCATCAAAGCTGAGTCTCTTAAAATATGTTTACTAACTATATTAATGAATTTAATTGTGCAGAAACATTCTAAAATTCTACCAAATGGTTTTCCCTTAATCAGACACCCAGTAAACACAAATTATTGGACCCACTTTGTTACTACCAGGACCTCTGTTCTCTCCTGTCTCTCTATCTTGACTCCTCCCTACTACTTCCTTGTCTCTTAGTCCCGCCTATCTTGCTTTCCTATTGGCCAACAGTGCTTTATTCATTAACCAATAAGAGAAACATATTTACAGAATGCCATCTCTCAACAAAGCTGAGATCAGAAAAGCAAAGCAGCTAAGTTACCAGAGAGCTCTTACCTCTACCAAGGCTGTGGGGAGATCCTGTCCTCAACATGGCTGGAGACTAATTACCCTGAGACTGAATGCCAGTGACTGGAGGCTGAATACAGCCTACCTTATACACCTCTCCTACCTTATATGCCTCTCTAATGGTAGGATTAAAGGCATGGGCTCTGCTGTAGCCCTAGGTGGCCTTGAGCTCACAGAGAGCCATCTGCCTCCGTTTCCTGAGTCCTGGGATTTAAGTTGTGTGCCACTACTGCCCAGCCTCTATGGCTGACTGGTGTGGCTGGCTTGCATTCTGATCTTCAGTGGCTTTATTGGGTCATAAACAATGTATCACCACAAGAAACCCTAACTAAAGACACGTAATGTTTTTCTCTCCAGTGCTGGAGGATGGACCCTCGTACATATTTCTGGAAGTGACTCTCCAGCGTGTGTACATAGGTGTTGAGGTTTTTATTCTTAAGATCCCATGTTATCTTAATATGTGTCCACATTTAACAACCTTGATCTGGAGGCACATGGCCCTTTGTGCTTACACATTGTCGGGTAAGACACCTTGTGCTGAGATCTGCTATAATTATGGTCACAACCTGCTGTTACAGTTCTGCCTAGTTATACAGAATCAGTCCTTCAAGCTTTCGTCACAGATAATCTAGAGACTACAGAGGACTAGGCAGTTCCCCAGTACCACACCTCTTCTTGAGTGCCTGCTTTCTCTGCTCCATACTAGGAAAAGGCAGTTGAGACCCTCCTGGCTTCTTGCTGCACACACATAGCCTGCAGTGATGCAGGCAAGGAGACAGAGTCTCCAAAAAAAGGCGTTTTGTATATGTGCAGAAACTCAACATTGCTATAAAACCAAGGTACCATATACTTTCATGAATATATTTTGATTAAAAACCAAAAACAACAAAAATGACCATTACTTACCTGTGATCCCTGAATCTCATGATGGAAACTCTCTGTGGTTTCTTTGACTAGAGCTGTCAATGCTTCATATTCAGGTGATAAGCAACTAACTTCTTGTTCTATGTCTATATTAATTCCATCCATATATTGTTCTTTGGCCAAATTAACTTTTTGAGCTATCCATGATGCTCTGAAGGCAGGATCAATGATATCCTTCAGGGAGACATCACCTTTGGAAGACAGAGACTTAAGTATACCGATGCCCTTTCATAGTTAAAAGGCACTTACTTCACTAAGCTACTTCCAAAGCCATCAAAATTGCTTTGGAAGTATCTACAATTACTTTAGGTTAACTGAAAGGCATAAAAAGGCATAATTCACATTTGTTTTTTCCATTGGCTAGGCACATGCTAATAACATACCTTTTAGCACTACTCTGGCTCCTTTTGAATGAGCATAGCACATAAGTTCCGAGTCATATTTTCCAAAAACTGCTACAGTTGTAATCTGTGACCAGTCATAAGATTTCCATGTCTTCTGTCCAACATCAAATACAAAGACCTGCCAGGGAAACAGGGGTGAGCAACAACACTTAATCTAAGATTATCATCCTGACATCCAGATATATGAACCATCTTCATATGTCAGGCATGGTGGTAGACACCGGGCACAGAGGGTGCAGGACGAAGAAGTCAGGTCGCCTAACAGAGCTACTAGCTACATGGACTTGGAAGAAGAACTGGCAAGTGCCAAGGCCTGAAGACAAGAGCACAATAAATTTAAGTACAGAAAAGAAACAGAGAATGGTTACTCTTGGGTAAACAATGAGCAGCCATGTCAGTAAATCAGCCCTATTGAGAAGTTAGTATCCTGAAGGAAATGGAGAGCACAGAAGTGTCTTACTTAATAAAACCACTCTATTGTAATGAACTCACATGAGAAGGTCGTTCATCTACACTAAGGTAGACACTCAGACACCAAACTATATCTCAGTGAACTTCTACACAGAATGGCCATTCTGAAGTCATGGAGGATCACTTAAGGTTTTGTACTTTTACTATGGATTTTTTTTTTACATTTATCCTCTAAACAAGTAGAACAAAGCACACACACACACACACACACATACCCTGTGACAGTGTTGAAATGAGAAAAACCATCATTTTGCCTGCATTCCTTACCAAATGTTAAGACACAAATATTTTTAAAAGGAAAAGGAATGTGTTCTAGAAAATTGTCCTCTGCTGAAGTGAGAAATGGATGAAAAGGGACCCAAGCTGGAATCACAGTGGGGAAGTGTTTGGATGAATGGGAGGAGATCATGAGTGGGGTCCCCGGAAGGTTGGAGCAGTACAGCTAACATCACATAGAGTCTGATGACCTTCAGCTCCTGCCTGTTTCAGATGGAGCCATGGGCACAGCTCGTTCCTCTGTGTGCTTTCATGAAGCCGACTTAGAACAGCAATGAGCCCGATTGTAAAGTATCGCATGTGTCCCTTCAAAAATAATTCTAGAGGCACAAAGGATTCGCTGATCATGTTCCTCAAGGTATTAATTTATGCATTTAGTAAGTACTTAAGGAATTCCAGTAAGATGCAGGACTACTCTGCACTAGAGGCACACCGGTTAGTAAACACCGGCATCCACTAGGAAATTAATTACAAGAGCATTAAGGAGTACAAGGGCATGCAGAGGCCTGTGCTACCACATAAAGGGAATCTGCTAAGGAGGTGATGCAAGAAATCCATGATGACTGCAGCACTTGGAGGAATTGCTGATTTTATCTGGAGATCCATTAGTGTTTGAAGCAGGGATGGCACATGACACTGGCACTAAAAATAGACCTGGGGGACCACGGCAGAATGGATGGGGAAGGGCTGTGTTTAGCACAGAATCAACCAAGCGTAGTTCTGTTTTTCTTTTTGCTGCCAACCAACTACCCAATAAACTACACGAAGAATGTGAAACCGAATGGCCCGATGTTTTAATTCTCATAATTAAGATTCAATTTGTTGATAGAAAATCAACAACCAGAACGACAACAGCTAGGGCCCCAATTTTGAGAATACAGGGAAAGGGTGCATTGGGTCTGGCGCAGTGGAGAACGGTGTCTTATTTAGGGTTACTATTGCTGTGATGAAACACTATGACCAAAACAACTTGAGCAGGAAAGGGTTTATTTAATTTATGATTCCGCATCACAGTTCATCCTTAAAGGAAGTCAGGACAGGAACTCAAAGGCAGGATCCTGGAGGCTAGCCAGTATCTTTTGGAAGCCAGGACCACTTGCCCAGGGATGGCACCACCCATAATGGGGTGGCCCCTCCCACTCTACCACATCAATCACTAATTAAGAAAACGTCCTGCAGGCTTGCCTACAGCAGGATCTTCCAGAGTCGTTTTCTCAGTTGAAGATCTCCCCCCTCCCCCATTATTCTTGCTTATGTCAAGTTGACATAAAAATCGCCAGTACAAATGGTGTTTGCCCTCAAAGCACAGTATCTCTCTCCCCCCCCCCCCCACACACATGTATACAGTGGAGAGGAAGGTCTTATAACCTAGTCTCCCCCTTTCAAAAGACAAAACGCCAGAGAAGGACTCATTTACTACTAATAGATGAATGAGCATAATTTTGTTTCTTTATGTGTAATTCAAATTGCTTACAAATACTACGTCACCCACTAACTATCCAGTGCCACAATAAATCAGATTGTTGTAAAATCACTTAATCGCGGGGAGGAGCTTCAGACTGAAGCAGCTGAGTGTCTTGGATTCCTACTTAGCCAATCAGAACCAGCCAACTAATCATAAACAAAAATGTAAACCGCTACCCATCGCCAACCAATTACTTCAGCCGGTAAAGACACGCTACCCCGGGTTCCAACTTCTGAGCTTTCTATAGTGATTGCTGCCAGTGACCATCGCTCAATGAAAAGTTAATGGACCTAATTTTTCTCTTTAAAGGATGCTAGGTTTCCTCAGTCGGCAGTCTACAAAAACAGTTCCTATTTTTTCTAAACAATGTATGCAAACACAGGAACTTAAGTATCTATGCCTCAAAACCAAATACAAGAAATAGATCCGTGAACTGTTCCTTCTTTGTGCAAATGTGTTAGTCTCGACCCTCTGACCTCTCTGACTTCCTCCAGATCCAGCTACCTCTGTCAACTCCAATTACGTGGCTTTTCCATTGCTCCAAGACTGACCTTTCCAGAAGATTTATAAGCCGTGAGGTTGGGTTAAAGGGAAATGTACTCAAACACTTGTTTTTGCCCCACTCCTGGGTGGGTGAGCGTCCACAACGAAAGAGCTACTCCGAATGAATCAAGGGTAAAGGGCTGAGATTTTGGAAACCGAGACCCGGTTCTCCCACCCTCCCGGCAGGAGGCTGAGCGGGCAGGGTGCGCTGGCCTGCGGGTCCGATGAGGCAGGAGCACCAGCGGGCTCCGGCCGGCCGGGGAAGCTGCGCAACCTCGCGCCCAGTCCTGTCTACTGAATCCGAAAAGAGGAAGGCTGCGGTGGGTGGTTCAGGCTGCTCAGAGCGCCACGCTCCTCTCCCGGCCTGGAGTACCAGACCGACGGGCAAGGAAGTGCTGACCTCGAAGTCGCGGCGGTGGCGGATCGGTCGGCAGAGCGCAGCCTCGGAGCACGGGCAGTCCCCGGCCGAGAGCCCGGGCGCCAGCAGCGGCAGCAGCAGCAGAGTAAGGCCCGGGAGATCGCGCAGCGCCATGCCTGCGGGGAGGCTGCGGGGCGGCTGAGGGGCGGGGCCTGAGGCCGGTGGGGGCGGGGCCTGATGCCGGTGGGGGCGGGGCCTGAGGCTGGTGGGGGCGGGGCCTGATCGGGTGGGGGAGGTAGAGGGCGGGGCCTGCCGCGGGTGTGGGGACCCCTGGCCCCTCAGCCGCTGCGGACACAGCTTAGGAGTTCAGGGAAGCGGCCCCTGCACGCCAGTGTTTTGAAGGGCCCGGGATGCAGTCTGGACTCCTGTCCCTGGATCTATACCATGCCACGGCTGTGCGCTCTCAGAGTTTGCTGCTCATCCATCTCATGGTGGTTTAGAGCCCCTTGCTTAGCATTGCTCCCCCCACCCACCCCTCCCTGACTGAGGCTTAGCACAGTGCTTGGATTGTAGGAAATAGTAAGTTCACTGTAAACTTCAAGAGCTCGTGATTTCCTTTTAAACCCAAATTCTGTTTAAAAGGGGGAACATTCTTTTCCAAGCCTCTACACAAGACTTGTTTGAGCGTATTATGATTTTTCCCGCATAAAGTGAATTTAAAGATGAAGTAAACCCTATGCTGTGATCTTAGCATGAGTTATGACTTCACGAAGAGCCTTTCCTTTTGTTATCAGAACATGACAGGCGAGTTTCAGCAGGCTCCATCTCAGTGGATCCCAACCTTCCTACTGCTGCGACCCTTTAATACGGTTCCTTATGTTTTGGTGAGCCACCCCCCAATAAAATTATTTTCGTTGCTATTTCATAACAAAATTTTTTGCTACTGTTTTGAATGGCAATGTAAATATCTGTGTTTTCTAAAGTGTTAGGTGACCCTGTGACCCCCCAAAAGACCGTGACAATTTGAGAACCATTGCTCTGTCCGATCCTGTGATTGTGCCTACATTTTTCTGCTTGGCCAAGTTCAGTAAATGCTAGAAGGAAAGCACATTTGCTTTTTGGGGGATTCTCCTGTTTAAGCATCAGCAGGAATAAATATTCTCTTTATGGCTCTAAAGTAAACTGTCATTAAACTCATAATAACAATTAAAACACCAATTATAGCACATGAGTTTAAATTTACTGTAAACCCCCTAAACACCAATAAAACAATTAAAGTATTATCAAAACAAAGATCTCTCTGAGCTCTCTGAGAAAAGGATCAGGCTTAAGATAACTGCAAACAGAATAAATTAACAGACTTGTAATCTTTGCATTAGAATTTGGCTTTCTTGTCTGAATTTCTCTTCCTGTTGCTGTAATTAAAAAGTGACTTAGAACAGGTTATGCTGGCTCCCAGTTCTCCGGTACAGTCTGCTGCAGCAGCCAAGTCAAGGCAATAGGATCTTGAAGCAGCTGGTCATGGTCAGAGAGCAGGATGAGCTAGCCTTCCCCTTTATATTGCTGCGTAGCAACCCAGAGAATGGTGTGGACCAGCCAGTAGTGCCAGAGTCTCCCTCCCATAACTCCATCATAGGCATACCCAGCAGGTAACCTAACCTAGATAATCCATGCCTGCAAGCTTGTCTCCTTGATTACCTAGATCTGGTGAAGCTGTGTAGTAACCCTGTACCCGAGTTTCATTCTCCTGAAGCCTTCTTGGGGTCTGCAGGAACAGCGTTCTTCAGGCTCTTACGGGTGTGTTGAGGACTTTGGCTCTGCTAATTTCTTTCACTAACTCCTTACACTCACATCAGAGTAGCAGCCATGGAAAGTAGCCATGGTTCCCAGTCTTATATTAGAGACAATGAAGCCAAACTGTCTGAGGGTGGTCCAAGGAACTGATGTTAGTAAATGTGAGAGGTAGGGATTTGACCAGAACTTGCCTTAGCAGGTACTCTTGTTTTCTGTGATTTTCCATCTAAAGCCTGATTTGTACTTCAAGGGTTAATTGTAGCTCGATGATAGTAAGAGCGGAGCTAGGGTTTCAGCTTGGACAATGTAGCTCCAAGTTATCGATCTTTACAATGATGCCAAGTCGTCTCCATTTTCCATCAGGGAGGGGCATCACTCGAGCCGCTCCAGAGCCTATCACCTGGCTCTGAGCAAGTAATCTGTCTGCTCAGGTAGAGTTGCACAGCATCCCAGGGCCATATACTTCTATTTTTAATAATAATCTCAATTCAAGTTAGCTAAGCCTACAGTCTATCTTCCTGAGATAGAGGAAACAGCCAGCGTTAGGGTGACAGCTTCAGACGGACATCAAGTCAGAGGCACAGGTCAGGAGAGTGTCTAGAATCTCCACGGTCATCTTTGAACATTTGGGTCTTGATGTTACACCCATCTTTCTTTCCATAAGGAAGGAGTTTCAAAGCTAGTAATATTGACATGTCATTGATCCCAACACTAGGGAAGCTAGGGGCAGACAGATCTCTGTGGGTTTCAGGACACCCTAGTCCACATAGTAAGTTCCAGAAGAGCCAGGGCTACATATGAGAGCCTGTCTCAAAAAACATGCAAGCAAGCAAGCAAACAGGACTTTAGCTTTTACTTGGCTCTTCCAGAATATGCTTTCCATTTTAATATGCAGCCCAACCTTTTAATAATTGCAGACAGTTTCTTAACCTTTGGTTAAAAATTGTCTTATTGTTCCTAGCCCTTTATCTTGGGGACTTGCTGGAAATGGTGATCTCTCTTATGTAGGGGGGGTGGGGGTGGGACAATGACGACACTCCACTTATTTGAATACAGACAGCCAACATTTCCTCCTCCTGACTCTCATCTTTCCTCCTCTAGCTGTATCAACCTTCGCCAGACCCTGATCTAAGCTTTCTGACTGTCATCATCTCTGCGTGCTTTTCGATGACCTCTAGGGACAGTGTGTATGGTGCTTACAGAAACTCCAGCATGGACAGGCCTGTGCATCATCCAGCAGAACTGGTGCTCTTAGGAGCTGCATGCCCTAATGCTTGTCACGTTCCTGTGCTCATAATAAACCCATGGTCAGTAAGCCTCTGTTTGATAGGAACTGTAAAGCCCTTTCATCTCCCTTTACTACTGTAGTGAACTTGTTTAACTTGTTTTACCTGCATCTTGGAAAACTGCATCGTATTTGAACCAGTCCACCCTGCATGCAAATACTAAGAGACACCGTGCCTTGCATGTACTTCAGGGCGGGAGCCTTAGAAAACAAGCTGACAGTCTGCAAACAGAATGCTTGGTTTTTGTGGTCTGTCAAGTACTCTTGGCCTGAGCCAAAACTGGCTGTACCAATGTTGCTGTGAGACCTGGGTGACTGTCCAGGTAGCCTGCTGTTTCTGTCCTTGCTGCGCCTTTTGGAAGTTGCCCATCCGCACTTCCTGCCTACCCTAGTATTATTATTTTCCTTTTCAGGTATTTGATGAGGTTGAAGATTAAATGATCACAACTATTATTCTCTCTTCCTAGTTAGATATATTAGGTACTAGACTTAAGCTTTCCAGCTTAGGACAACTCTATTGTAAACCCCCGTTTCGACTTTGCCCTAGGACTAGATATGTAGGTCTTAAGTTTGTATGTTCTCAATTTTCCTTTTCTTAGAGCACACTTGTTAGTCACTATTTGTATATAGTTTGTGTATCTAGCCCAAATAAGGGGAATTGTAGTGAGATATTCACCTTGTCTGCACCTGTGGCATAGACCACGCCCATGGGGGTGGAGACAGGGCTGGATGTGACTTGGGGGAAACTAGGTCTGAGGAAAGGGCTCTGGGAGCTCTCTTGCTTGCAGCATGGGGACAGGAGAACTTCCAGAGGCATCCTTGGGGCCAGGAACCTGCTGGTGTTCATCTGTCTATGTTGTGAGTTATTCCTCCCTGAATAAATTTCTATTTGGCCTATTTGTTTCTCCTGATCCTTATTAAACATCAATAAGACTTATTAGAGAAAGCTGACATGTACTACTAAAAACACTGGGGTTCTTAGTGTACTGAACCTGCCCATCACAGTGACTCCAGGGTCTTGGTATAGTTCTTACAGTGCGTGTTATTTCAGACCTGAGGTCTATCTTTACTAGCCACGTGACCTTAGAGAATTCACTAAGCCTCACTTGTAACTGAAATAAGGAAAGATGGGAGTTGGTAAATAGGCTATGCACTCATTTCTGGGTAGCTGGTGTACATCAGGCCTTCTGAGGCTGATGCCTCCTCGGGTAGCTGTGTTCATCTGTTTTCTGTAACTATAAGGTGGGTCAAGATCATTGACTGAAGACGAGATGTTTATTAAGCTCACAGATTTGGAGCTTCAAGGCCGCGACACTGGCATCTGCTCAGCTTGGGTGAGGCGTTCTTAGCCGCATCACTTCCTAGTGCAGGTTTACACATGGCAAGCATGACGAGTCAGAAAGGATGGGGTGACAGTACAAACAGCCATGATCCCTTCCAAAGGCACGCTTCCCACGGCCTCAGGCTCCACTGAAGAGACCCACCATCTACACCTCTAAAAGCACCACACCTCTAAAAGAAAAGAACCTCTGTGAGTACAAGCCATATCCAAGCCACAGCCACAACTGACCATACCCAAGCCACAGCCACAACTGACCATACCCAAGCCACAGCCACAACTGACCATATCCAAGCCACAGCCACAACTGACCATATCCAAACCACAGCCACAACTGACCATACCCAAGCCACAGCCACAACTGACCATACCCAAGCCACAGCCACAACTGACCATATCCAAGCCAAGCCACAACTGACCATATCCAAGCCACAGCCACAACTGACCACATCCAAGCCATAGCGAAGCTGACCAGGTCTGGGGCAGTAGTATTGCTTTCCTGCCCACACTCTCCCTGCCTGGACAGGAGAAGAAGAGGTATCTCCCACTGACAATGCATCCAGGTCTCCACTGAGATGTTTACAGGTAGACATGAAAACTGACACACCATCACTGCTGCTGTAGGAAGGTGCTGTTTGTGTTTATTGCCTGTCAGGTAGAGGCACACATTCTTCATTGAACTTAAGCAGAGACATTCAGTCAGCGCTAGACATACACTGTATACATCCACAATGACGAGCGGTAAGGGACTGTTAC